GGGTTTATATAGGGGTTCCTGGGGTTGGGGAAGTTTTTCCAGGGTAGGGATTGGTCCGATTTCAGTGCTGAGCTCAGATTGGCTAGAGCTCTGCTCCGGGATTGGTTACTTTTTTACACAGGATTAGGGTCAGATTTGGCTCTGGTTTCAGGGCCAAAGTGTGTTTCTTTCTCTGGTCCTTTTTAGCCTTTTGGCTCCAATTTTAGGGCCAGGGTACATTTCTTTCACTGACTCTGATTCCAGGGACAAAGTGTGTTCCTTTGGCACTGGTTTTAGGGTCAGGGTACATTTCTTTGGTTCTGGTTGCAGGGCCAAAGTGTGTTTCTTTGGCTCTGCTCAGGGTGTGTTTCTTTGACTGGTCCCTTTTCCCTACAGTTCTGCCTGCATGTATGACTCCATGCCATAAGAGGGCACTAGATTCTGTTACAGATGGTTGTGTGGCATCATGTACTTGCTAGGAATTGAACTCAGGACCCCTGGAAGAGCAGCTAGTGCTCTTAGCCTCTGAGCCATCTCTCCAGTCCAGAGTCCTAGTATCCCCCCCGCCCAGGGTCTCTTTGTGTACCCCTAGCAGTCCTGGAACTCACAGAGATCTGCCTACCTCTGCCTCTGGGAGTAAAGGTCAGTGCTGCCACCACCCAGCAAGTCCTAGTATTTCTTTTTTTTTTTTTGGTTTTTTCGAGACAGGGTTTCTCTGCATTGTTTTGGAGGCTGTCCTGGAACTCACTCGGTAGACCAGGGTGGCCTCGAACTCACAGAGATCCGCCTGCCTCTGCCTCCCGAGTGCTGGGATTAAAGGCGTGCACCACCAACGCCCGGCCCTAGTATTTCTTTTTGTTTGTTTTTCTTTTCGAGACAGGTTTCTCTGTGTAGCCTTGGCTGTCCTGGAACTCAGTCAGTAGACCAGGCTGGCCTCTAACTCAGAGATATCTTCCTGTCTCTGCCTCCCAAAGTCCTAGTATTCTTAAGCAGAAAAGCTTGCATGGTTTCCTGGGACTGCTTCCATCATGCTGAAGTGTTCCCATCATCCCATATTGTCCCCACTTTGATGCCCTGTGACCCAGGCAACAAGCAAACTAGGAGTGACAGCAGTCATGCATGGAGGAAAAGAATTCAGAACAGGACAGACCAGGAGCATTCACATTTAGATGCTCTCGTGGTCTTGACTAATGCCCCCATGCATGTGCCAACTGGAAAGGGTATCAAAGTGTAGCTTGGAGCTGTAGTGCCATCTGTGGGATTGACTTACTTGCATTGAAGTGTTTGACCTGTTCTAGCTCACACAGGCACCACACTTGTTTTATTGGGTACTGGGCATGGAACCTGGACTTGATGCATGTTAGAAGAGCACTCTAGCAACTGAACCACACCCCAGCCCTCCTTTGGTTCTTTTGTTCTTTTTTCTTTTGTTTACAAGATGTGGTTTCTCTGTGTAGTCCTGGCTCTCCTGGAACGTGATTTATAGACCAGGCTGGCCTAACTCAGAGATCCACCTGCCTCTGAGTGCTGGGAATAAAGGCATGCGCCACCACTGCCTGGCTGAAAATTTGCATTCTTAATGAGACAGTAATTAAGTAACTAATAAGTACTTGTTGGAAAGTGATAAGTCTAAGGATAAAAATAGAAGAGAGGGAGGGTAGGGAAAATGCCTAGGAGAGGCAGTTTACACAGGGTGTTCAGAGCGTCTTGGTGAGAAAGTGACTTCATGAAACTCTAAAAGAGTGAAGGGGGTTGAACCAATTTGTCTAGAGTGAGGGGAGGAGGGTGAACTGAGGCCGATGAAGCAGATGTGGGAGCAAGCAGAAGGACTGGCAAGGGAGAGCACCAGGAACTTTGGGAGTCAGGTCACACAGGCCTGTGTGTGCTGGTCGGAGCTTGGACTCTGATGGGATGCTGTTGAGGGCCTCTGAACAGAAGAGTGATGGGATTTCATTTATGTTTGATGTGTTGAGAATGCACTGGCAGGGTCAAGACTGGAAGGACAGCGCAGTAGCCTTCTCAGTTGACCACGTGCAGACATGGATCTAGGTGATGATCGAGCAGGTGGTGAAAGAGGTCATATTTGGAATGTGTTTGGAAGTGTTTGCTCTCATGTATGAGAAAAACAAAATAAAGGGTAATTCCAAGTTTCTAGGGCTGACCATCTGGAAGTATAGAGTTAGCATTCACTGCAGTGTTTGAAGGAAGCATGGAATTAGAAGCTATCAGAAACAGTATTCAGCTGGTTAAAGTCAAGATACCCTCCAATATGTCCAAGTGAAGATGTCAGCAGCACACAGAAGGCAAGGCTGTCTTTAGAATCCATCAGAGTATTTCCAGGAGCAAGAACAGTTAGCTGTCAGATCCCCAAAGATGAGAGCTCAGGTGTAGGAGTTAGCAATTAGATTCAGTAACATGAGGTCTGGAAGCATTAGCAATTTTGGTAGTGTGAATGGGGCGGTACAACCTGGTTGAGCCAAGTTCAAAAGTGACTATTGGAAGTAATTAGGAACAGCAAGTACTGACCCTCCTTGAGACTATTTGTAGTAAGTTGAAAAGATTAGAAGTCAAACATGCATTTTAATATACCTAAACTTCCAAATTAGTGGGGGGTGTAGTTACATTGGAAAAATGCTTGCCCTGCATGAATGAAGCTCTGGGTTTGAAAACCAGATATGCTGGGCGGTGGTGGCACAGACTTTTAATTCCAGCACTTGGGAGGCAGAGGCAGGTGGATCTCTGTGAGTTTGAGGCCAGCCTGGTCTACAGAGTGAGTTTCAGGATAGCTAAGGCTATCCACAGACACCCTGTCTTGAAAACAAAACAAAAAAGAAGAAAAAAGAAAGAAAAGAAAGCTAGGTGTAGCCGGGTGGTGGTGTACGCCTTTAATCCCAGCACTCAGAAGGCAGAGGCAGGCAGATCTCTGTGAGTTCGATACCAGCTTGGTCTATAAGAGCTAGTTCCAGGACAGCCTGCCACCACCGCCCGGCAAATTGTAACTTCTTGATAAAGTCGTATGTACATCTCAGGCTCAGTTGAGGTCAGAGTGAGAATAGAGAAGATCTCTGTTCTCTCCATTTGGCCTGTGGCATTAGCAGCCTCTTCTCAGACGTGTTCTGCAATGTGTTGTGGTTGCTGGGCGTTCAGTTGTCTGGGCGGTCTGGAGTCTGCCACAGCCCGGCTTGCTCCCTCCACCCTTCATCCAGGCTGATTTGCCAGTTTCCCTAGAGGTCCAGTTTTGTTCTTTAAAACCAGCCATGGCTTGATTTTTCCTTGTCCACTCTGAATTCTTCTAGTGTAGGCAACTGGGAAAGCCTGGCCTTAGAAACTGCTTTTCTGGCTTCTGGCCCAGTCAAGACTGACCAAAATAGCCACCAGAAGGGCTGTTTGCACACAGTGAAATTCCTGCTGGGGAAATGCCATAGTGGAGGGCCAAGGAAGCCATAGTTGTGAAGGTTTAAAAAAAACAACCCAATAGCCTAGGGTCTGGGTATGGACTTTGAGCCCTCTTCTAGCCTGGGACAGCCTGATTGATAACCAGGCCTCTAGGGGCCTTCCTGTTAGATCATGTCGTCCCAAGCCAGTCTGCCAGACAGCCCCCTGTCCCCGGGATAGAGCTACACTCCCTACCCTGTGGTGAGGCCAGCGTTGCCAAGGGTGCTCCAGGGAGTGTACACTGGCACCCAGCAAGGTCATCTGCTTCTAGAGAGTAGGTGAGAAACAACCCCTAGAGATTATAGATGGCCAGAGGGAGAGCTCAGGGAAGAGAAAGAATGGGAGGGAGGAGGCTCGGGGCTTGTTTCCTCTAAACTTTATCAAAAGAGCTTTTGGAAACTATGGGAGGGTGTAGCTGGATAGGATTCTGGGTTTACAAAGGTAGTCTTCCGTGTGTGTACTGGCTGGATAGAGGGAGGAGGCAGAGGCTGGAAGCTGCCCTGGAGGCTGTGTGTGTGTGGGGGGGGGGGGTTCAGGCAGAGTGAGGGTAATCTAAGCAAGGACCCGGGCCATGGGACTCAGAGTAGAAAGGAGACTTCTATGGAGGAGAGGAATCATGAGGACCTAGTTGTCACTAGGAAGAAGCTACATTCCAGAGATTCCTGTATTCTCACCCTGTCTCCTGGAACTGCAGCTGTCCCTGTTTTGAGAACCAAGTCTGGGATCAGCAGCTCAGTGCAGACACAGCTCACTAAAGTCACTGAAATGGGTGCTGAATGCTAGCAAGGAACCTGATTCATCTCAGGCCAGAAAGACATGGTATACCAGTTACAAGATGGCTGTCAACAATTTTTGCTAGGGAGGAAAATGAGAAAAAAAGCTGGCCTAAAGGTATAAGCATTTGCTTGAATCAACAGCAAAGCCCTAAGCAAGGGAAGGGCAGCAGGAGATAAGCTCCTCCGTCTAAAGCAGGCCTGTAAAGGCTGGGAGGAGAAAGAAGGAACCAGCCTGAGGGAATGCTTAGGTTGGGAGTGTCTGGCTGGCCCAGTGAAGGCCCACCGGGGGGGGGGGCGCTGGCCCAGACCTGGAGTGTAAGCCTCTGTGAAGGTGTCCGAAGCCCTGTGAGTGGACACAGCCCCTCAAGGAAGGGATCTTGGGTGAGGAGAAGGGATACTTGTTGAAGAATGCCAGTATTTAAGTGGTGGGGAGGAAGAGCAGCTCCAGGAGAATCCACGGGAATTTGCAGGGAGAGGCAGCCATCAAGAGTAGAAAAGATGTCTGTGGCGACCCAGGTAGAAGCAGCCAGCAGAGTATGAATGGAGGTGTGGAGGGACCGAGTTTGGCCAAGGAGGGTGGGGGCTGATGGTGCGAGTCTGGGAGCTTTTCTGTCTGGGGCTCTGCTGTGGCCCCTCTGTCACCTGATGGATACTCCTTCCTCCTTGCTGCCTTGTTCAACCCCCTCAGAACTTTTCCTTAGGGCTGAGGTGTGCTGGTCACTATGCTTGCATCATCGATCACTGCCAAACGTCAGCCTAGAGCCTTAGGGGAGTTTTAGCTGAAATGAATTAATGACAAGATTCAAATGATGTCACTGAGAGACATGCATTTTTTTCTTTGAAAAATATTCAGTAAGCATGTGTGACATGTGGATAAAGTGATTGCTTCAATTCATGATGACCACGGTCATAGAACCTACCTGGTGGAAAGAACTGATTCCCAAATTGTTCTCTAACTTCCACATGTTACTGTGCATGCCTGCATGTGAACAAACACACAAAATAAATGTATGCAGTCATCCCTATTGCCCATATTGCTAAATAAATGTAGGTTTCAGTGACCAAATACAGACTGCTGTTACAGGCCAAAGGCCCTATTAAAGTAGTGGATGTGCTAGAACGTTTGCCCAGCATGTGTGAGGCCCTGGGTCCAACCTGCAGCTCAAGAAGAAAAATGTGTAGCATAGTGGAAGCGGTGTGAGGCAATTACAGAACTGTGTCTTTAAGAATTCCTCTGCGGTTCATAGCCCGCTTGGCTGTGCTCTGAGTAGTGTGGAGGGAAAGTTAAGCATGCCTTACATCCACATCGCACATCATAGACAAAAGGTTCCAAACTAAGTGAGGCTGCTCAGAGAACTCCAGTTACTTCACCTCTTCCCTTTCCAATACCAACAGGAAGTGCTTCTCTTCCCTTCTCTTTCCAGAATAGAACTCTGCAGTGGCAGAGAAATGGTTCTGTTTGATCGCCAGGTCTGCAGCCCAAGGCCCATATAAAGTTCTCAGTGACCACAGGAGACGCACTTATGGTAGTTTTAGACCAAAGCAGTATTTCTAGAGCCAGCTGGGGGAGGAAAATGAAACCAAACTGAGACGGTGCAGCCGGGAACACCAGCAGCCTGCAGCTTACATCAGTAGGCTCTGCTTTAACCTTGAACGCAGTGCTTCTCAACCTTCCTAAGGCTGCGACCCTTCAACACCTCACTGAACATTGTGGTGACCCAACCATAAAATTATTATTAGTTTGGTTTTTGCCAGACAGGGCTTCTCTGTAGTTTTGGGACCTGTCCTAGAACTCACAGAGATCTGCCTGCCTCTGCCTCTCTTAAAGGCGTGCTCCACCACCATCCGGCTCATAAAATGTTTCATTGCTACTTCCTAACTAACGTTGCTACTGTTATGAATCCCAATGTAAACATCTGCTATATAGGATATCTGATATATATGTGGGACCCACAGGTTGAGAGCCTTTGCTCTCACTGAAGATGCACGGGCCCAGTCAGGCTGACCACCGAGAGAGAGAAGTGGTTAGAAGTGCTGGACCACCTTCATTTCACTTCCTTTGCACTGCTGCAGGGCCCCCGTGTTTTCTAACACGGGAAGGATGTTGTTCACCAAGTATCAGGATAACGAGGACCCTCTAAAGCCTCCCAGGAGACCTGCCTGTCTTCCCAGCCCTGCCAGCAACTAACTAATCTTGTGTTTTTAGCAGCACACATAGTCTGAAAAACTTTGTTTTATTGTTTTGGGTATTAACCAAGGGCCTTGTACACCTAGGCAGGGTCTTCCACTGATCCACACTCTTGTACCTCAAAAGAACAAACATTTGAAAGAAAAATTAGCTCAACTTTCCACTCCATCTCCAACAGAAATATACCTCTTGCCTCTGCTTAAACAATTTCAGAGAAGGGGGACTATCACCCCCAGGGGCAACTGGTTCTATCTTCAAAGGTTTCTTTGAATTAAATGGAAATCTGGCTTTTTGAACATCCACACAGGTGGCTTGGTGCCCTTTGAACTTTATATACAAGAGTAAGTACCCTGGTCAGAACCTTGTTGGAAGTATCCCTTGGAATGAGCCCAACACTCTGCGTACAGCCCAGTGTGTGGAATAATACATGGGAAATATTATTTTTCTTGTCCTACAATACTTTTTTAGATTTTTAAAATAATAGTTTTTGTGCCAGGCAGTGGTAGTACATGCCTTTAGTCTCAGCACTAGGGAGGTAGAGGCAGGTAGGTTTCTGAGTTCGAGGCTAGCCTGGGTCTACAAAGTGAGTTCCAGGACAGCTGGAGAAACCAAAAGAAAAAAAAATGTTTGTTAGCTGGGTGTGGTGGCCCATGTCTTAAATCTCAGCACTCAGGGGGCAAAGGCTAGACTAGTGTGAGGCTCTGTGTAAGTAAATAAAATAAAGAAAGAAAAGAAAAGAATAGTTACAATGAGGAAAATATGACAGTAAAAAGACCTGTGCTGCCTGTGGTCCCTGGTCCTGAGCCCCGGTCTGAGTTGGAGATAGATACCTTGGCTCATATCCCCTCAACCCTTAGCCCCCAAACTATTCTACCATCCTGCCTTCATTTCCTTCCTCCTGGTTCACAGACATATGAGCATTTCGATGTCAGTGGTGTACGCTCTTTACTGATGTCTCCATCTCAAACCTTTGAAAGCAGCTGAGCTGTGCTCACAGGCCTGCTATTTGCAGCTGCGTGCTTTATCTGTGGTTGTCCGTCAGCACTGCCGTGATTGTGTAGTCGTCTGTTTCAGTGAAGGCTTTTAGAAACGGACAGGTATGTCCTACTCTAGAGTGCTAGCCTAGCGGTTTCTTCATTCCCAGACTGGTTTGCATCTGGCGTCATCTGGATTGAGCTGGTAGCTTTGGTTGGTGCAAGGCTTGGCTAGAGGCCCCTTTGCCCCTAAAGGAGAGATCCAGAGAGCCACCAGTATCCACCAGGGGGTGCTCCAGACCCATCACAGCTAATCTGTTGTTGTTTTTTTTTTTTGGCAGGAGTGGGTGGGTTTGAGACATGGTTTCTCTGTAGCTTTGGAGCCTGTCCTGGAACTTACTTGTAGACCAGGCTGACCTCAAACTCACAGGGATTCTCCTGCCTCTGCCTTCCGAGTGCTGGAACTAAAGGCGGCACCACCACCGCCCGGCTGACAAGCCAGTGTTGAGATAGACTTCCTTCTGTCCTGGAGACTCCCAGGTCGCCCAGTCTGTGAGGACAGTCTGGTGAAGGCAGCCTGCCCCAAGCAGATGAGTATGAGCGAAGGAAACAGTCACCCCTGACCAGCATGGGCTGTGAGGCTCAAGCTGGGGCCACACAGGAAAAACTGTTAACCTCGCTGAGAAGCAATAAGAGAGGCAAAAAGAAAATCTAGGCAAGGGGCTCTCTTTGGGTGTCTTACGTATCGTTTCATCTTTTTCCCAACAGATCCACAGATGAGCATGGCTGCCACCGCTGCTGTCAGTCCCAGTGACTACCTGCAGCCTGCTGCCGCTGCTACCCAGGCAAGTGCACAGTGGGCTGAGGCAGGGCCAGAATCTGGGTGGATCACCCATCTCAGAACCCGTTCGCTCTCAGTGCAAACGCCAGGAAGGTTCACTTGTCTACATTCTCTGAACTAAACATAGCCACTTGTCATTCCCGGGTCCGGGGCTGTTGGTGAAGACCCTGCTGCACATGCATGAGTACCTGAGTTCAGTTCCAGTCACCTATGTAGAAAGCTGGGCATGGCAATACATGCCTGTAGTCCTAGCTCTAGAGAGGCTGGAGCAGCAGGATCCACTGGGCTTCAGTGGCCAAGTAGTCTTGTGCAGTCAGTGAGTTTCAGATTCAGGGAAGAGACCTGTCTCAAAAAAATAAGGTGAGCTGGAGCAGTTAAGAGCATTGACTGCTCTTCCAGAGGACCAGGGACTCTAACACCCTCATACAGACATATATGCAGGCAAACACCAATGTATGTAAAAGTAAAGAAATCGTTTAAAAATTAAAAAAAATAAGCCGGGCGTTGGTGGCGCACGCCTTTAATCCCAGCACTCGGGGGGCAGAGGCAGGTGGATCACTGTGAGTTCGAGACCAGCCTGGTCTACCAAGCGAGTTCCAGGACAGCCTCCAAAGCCACAGGGAAACCCTGTCTCGAAAAACCAAAAATAAATAAATAAATAAATAAATAAATAAGGTGAAGGGGCTGGAGAGATAGATGGTTAAGAACACTGACTGCTTTTCCAGAGGTCCTGAGTTCAAGTCCCAGCAACCACATGGTGACTCACAGCCATCTCTAATGAGATTTGGTGACCTCTTCTGGCATGTAGGCACACATGCAGACAGAACGCTGTATACACAATAAATAATCTTTTAAAAAGGAAGGAAGGAAGGAAGGCGTTTTAAAAAAGAGCACTGGCTGCTCTTCCAGAGGATCCATGTTTGATTACCAGAACCCAAATGGCAGCTCCCAACCCTCTCCATACTCCAGCCCCAAGGGATCTGATGCCCTTTCTGGCCTCTGAGAGCATTGGGCACTTGAGTGACACACAGACATACACGTAGGCAAAACACTCAGACACTTAAATAATAAAGAACAAGGTAGAGAGTAAGAATTTAACATGAACCTCTGGCCTCCACATACACAGACTGAAATGTACCCATACACCCTTCACATAAACATGCATACATGTATGTAACACACACCCCAAAACAAAAACAGAAACTCGGGATTCCGTCCGAGCCTAATGCCCTTGAGAGCAGGCCCTTTTATTGTAGCCCTGTCTAGTCAGGAAGCACCTCCTCCTCTGGGAAGCCTTTTACCCGTGTCACCTTCCCTCCCCATCACCTCTCCTTTGCCTGCTTTGTGCTAAGTTCATGGAGCTCCATCCGAGACCTGGCGCGTGTCATTGTCCCTGCTAACTCCAGGCCAGCAAGGCCAGTGGGAAAGCAGCTCATGCCCAGGGCTGCTTTTGGGCATTTTTATGGAGCAGGAACCTCTGCAGCAGGGGTGGGGATGCTGGTGATGGCCTGCCTCAGGGGTGGGGAGCTGCTGAGGAGAGATCACTATGGTAGGAGGGTGTCTAGCCTTTCTTCCCATCTCACTCCTGTCCTCTGCTGGTTTTTGCAGGACTCCCAGCCGTCTCCCTTGGCCCTGCTTGCTGCAACATGTAGCAAAATTGGCCCACCAGCTGTTGAAGCTGCAGTGACGCCTCCTGCTCCGCCCCAGCCCACCCCACGGAAACTGGTCCCTATCAAACCAGCCCCTCTCCCTCTCAGTCCCAGCAAGAATAGCTTTGGCATCTTGTCATCTAAAGGAAATATACTTCAGATTCAGGGCTCCCAGCTGAGTGCCTCCTATCCCGGAGGGCAGCTGGTGTTTGCTATCCAGAACCCCACCGTGATCAACAAAGGGAGCAGATCAAATGCAAGTATACAGTACCAAGCGGTCCCCCAGATTCAAGGGAACAGTTCCCAGAGCATCCAGGTGCAGCCCAACCTCGCCAACCAGATCCAGATCATCCCAGGCACCAACCAAGCCATCATCGCCCCCTCATCATCTGGCCATAAGCCTGTCCCCATCAAGCCAGCTCCTGTCCAGAAGTCAAATACGACTACCACTCCTGTGCAGAGTGGGGCCAATGTGGTGAAGCTGACAGGTGGGGGTGGCAACGTGACACTTACTCTGCCGGTCAACAACCTGGTGAACACCAGTGATGCTGGGGCCCCCGCTCAGCTCCTCACTGAGAGCCCCCCCACCCCACTGTCTAAGACTAACAAAAAAGCCAGGAAGAAGAGCCTTCCTGTCTCGCAGCCGTCAATGGCTGTGGCTGAGCAGGTGGAGACGGTGCTGATTGAGACCACAGCAGACAACATCATCCAGGCAGGAAACAACCTGCTGATTGTCCAGAGCCCTGGTGGGGGCCAGCCAGCTGTGGTTCAGCAAGTCCAGGTGGTGCCCCCCAAGGCCGAGCAACAGCAGGTGGTGCAGATACCCCAGCAGGCACTGCGGGTGGTGCAGGCTGCCTCTGCCACCCTCCCCACCGTTCCCCAGAAGCCCTCCCAGAACTTTCAGATCCAGACAACTGAATCAGCACCAACCCAGGTACCACAGTCCCTCCGCTCACCCTTTGGCTTGATTTTTGAGGCAGATCACCGTCAGATCTGATGGGAAGTTGGAGTCACTGTCATGGGGTGGGCAGGAAATGGCTTTTGCCTTTGGGTCTCTTCGGGTCTTAAGCCAGGTGGTCCTGATCTGTAGAAACCAGGTGGAAACAGGGATGTCTAGTCTGTTTTCTTTCATTATGGGGTAGCTCGGGACATAACTGGGGGTTAGATGTGACTACTTTTACAATAAAATATTTTTATCATAAGATTATATACAGAGCCAGGTGGTGGTGGCACATACCTTTAATCCCAGCACTCGGGAGGCAGAGGCAGGTGGATCTCTTTGAGTTCGAGACCAGCCTGGTCTACAAGAGCTAGTTCCAGGACAGCTTTCAAAGCCACAGAGAAACCCTGTCTTGAAAAAACACAAAAGAAGCCGGGCGTTGGTGGCGCACGCCTTTAATCCCAGCACTCGGGAGGCAGAGGCAGGCGGATCTCTGTGAGTTCGAGGCCAGCCTGGTCTACAAAGTGAGTTCCAGGACAGCCTCCAAAGCTACAGAGAAACCCTGTCTCGAAAAACCAAAAAAAAAAAAAAAAAGAAAAAAAAAAAAAAAGAAAAAACACAAAAGAAAAAAGATTACATATAATAGCAGCAAGTATTTAGTGTAAAAAAGTTCATGAGGAAAAACTGTTGCCTATTAATGACAAGAAAAATAACAGGAGCAGTTAGGCCGTTTCCTTTTTTGAGTCAGGGTCTCCCTATATATCCCAGGTTGGCCTTCACCTCACTGTGGCCTAGACTGGCCTCAAACTTGCAGTCCTCCTGCTTTAGCTTCAGTCCTGGGATTACAAGTGTGAGCCACCACCATACTTGCCTCTTTCCACCTGCGGCTTACCTCTTCTCCCCACACCCCCGAATGGTTTCCCTTCTGCTTCATTCATGTGTGTGTGCATGTGGGCGTGTGAATGTGTGCTCTCCCTCCTAGTCTAGATTCCACATAAGGGGAAGAACGGATTTGTTCTTCCGAGCCCGCCGTGTTTCACTTGACATGGCGACCTCGTTTCTGTTTCTGGCTCTTCTCTCATCACACTGTGCTCTTCCCTTTGTTCGGGCCGGCATTGGAGGCCACTTTCACAGCTGCTTCTGCTTTTGCTGCTTCCCCTCTTGTGCAGCTGTCACGTCGACTGTTCAACTCTGTCTTTTCTTTAGCTGCCAAACAGCTGGCCACTGAGCTGCTTTTGCAGCCTGCCCTCCTGGCTACTTTGCCGTCTCTTCTGCTTCTTTGTGTTCCGCCACTCTAAAAGTAGACAAGAGCAGATGACCCAAGAGATCCTTTTCTTGGTTTCTAATGTTGCTCTAAGCAGCCCAGGTAGTAAAGGAGACCCAGCAGCTGTGGGGAGCCAAACTGCCCCGTTCCCCAGGGTCACTGCTTTTTACAGAGATAATAGTGAGAAGGAATGCTCAAAATAAGTTAAACAATGTAGTCAAGTATGGTGGTTCACACCTGTAATCACAGCACTCACAAGATTCAGGCAGGAAGAGTGACATGAGTTCAAGATCGACCTGGACTACGGTGTCAGACTCTTATCTCAAAACACCAAAAAGCAAATTAACAAACAAAAAACCCAAAAACTTAGCAGGGGTTTTTTGTTTGTTTTGTCGTTTGTTTTCAAGATAGGGTTTCTCTGTAGCTTTGGAGCCTATCTTGGAACTTGCTCTGTAGACGAGGCTGGCCTTGAACTCACAGAGACCCACCTACCTCTGCCTCCTGAGAGCTGTAATTAAAGTGTGTACCACCACCACCCAGCTTGGGTGTCGCTTTGTAACCTATGTTGGTGTTGTACTTTTTAAAAATTTTCCTATTTTGAGAGTCTAACAGTTATATTTTTCCACGCTAAGCCAATTAAAGGTTTGGTACCTAGCTTATGTCAGTTTAGGGTCCTATTAAATGTCAGTAGTGTTTGAGTGCTTGTTTGGCTTGTTTGGGCTGGTTGAAGAGTGGGATGACAGGTGTATCAGTCTTCCTTGGACAAGGATGGCTGTGTGAAGGTGCAGGTGCCATGTCTCTTAGGGCACTCTGCTCTCTGGTCCCCTCAGGTTTATATTCGTACACCTTCTGGTGAGGTACAGACAGTCCTCGTCCAGGACAGCCCCCCAGCAACAGCCGCAACCACCTCAACCACCACCTGTAACAGCCCTGCACCCCGAGCTCCCCAGCTGAGTGGTACCAGCAAAAAGCATTCAGCTGCAATCCTCCGGAAAGAGCGACCCCTGCCAAAGATTGCACCTGCTGGGAGCATCATCAGCCTGAATGCCGCACAGCTGGCCGCAGCTGCTCAGGCCATGCAGACCATCAACATCAATGGAGTCCAAGTGCAGGGTGTGCCTGTCACCATCACGAACACTGGCGGTGAGGGAAAGTCCTGCAGCCAGGGTGTTGGCAGCAGGGCTTTGTATTCAGCATATGGGAACCCTGAGCCAGGTCCCTGGAATTCCCAGTATCAGCCATGAGGATGGATGCTGTCCATCCAAGGTGATGCCCAGCGTTTGCTTGGTCTACTCCAGCCTCAGGGCACACCCCTGTATATCTTCACACCTGGTCCTTACAGTAGTATTATGAGGTAATAAGTAACGTGTCCATATGTGGTAACCGCAGATGTTGAGTAATGATGGAGGAAATAGATGGTGTTCAAGTAACATACAAACTCATATTAATTTGGCTGGTCACCTGCCCAGGTCAGGTGACTAAGGGCCATACCATGTAAAAGAAGTGAAGAAACACTTCATTTTGGGGGAGGGAATGCATTTTGAGACAGGGTTTCTTTGGCTGTCATGGAACTCACTCTATACCATGCTGGCCTCGAACTTTAGAGACCAGAGATCCACCTGCCTCTGCCTCTACCTCCCAAGTGCTGGGCTCAAAAGTGTGTGCCACCACTACCCAGCTAAGGAAAGCTCTCCTCCCCCCCCCAGGAAGGCTTCTTAAAGAAAAAGGCTGGTGTTGAGGTCGAGTGGCAAAGGACGGTGTCCTGGACAATAGGACCAGCTTGGGCTGCACAAGAGTTCAGTGATGGTACATTCTGTGATTGCAGTCTTGAAAATAGAAGGGAGAGGGACAGGAGAGAGAGCTCTGTAGTTAAGAGCACTGACTGCTTGCTTTTCCAGAGCCTAGATTTAATTCTCAGCACCCACATGGTGGCTATAACTAGTCCCATAGCATCTGATGCCCTCTTCTGGTATATAGATATACGTGCAGACAGACACCCATATTTATAAATACGGAAATAAATCATTAATTAAAATAGGGAAGAGGGAGAGCTCCCTACCAGAAGCAGTCTGCGTTCTGTACCTGGGAATAGGGCAGCTTTCAAGGTAGTGAGAGTTTACGACTTCCCCTTCCCTAATGAATTCCTATCTAGCACTTTATGCATTTGGTTTGTCCACTTTTAGGAGACACCAAGAGGAAAGGACAAGGTAGCCTAGAGTAATTTCCCCAAAGCACATGAATAAAAGTTCTTGGGAGAGTCTCCTGCTAGCAGCATTAGAATCTCAGATGCCTCTGGCTCTCACTGTTCTCCAGTGTATTAGCTGCCATGATACATCCTTAACCTGTGCAGGAGGGAAAGGTTTGGCCTTGACTTCCTTTCCTGAACGGAGTCCCTCTCTTTTCCCACAGGGCAGCAGCAGCTCACAGTGCAGAATGTTTCTGGAAACAATCTGACCATCAGTGGGCTAAGCCCCACCCAGATCCAGCTGCAGATGGAGCAGGCCCTCGCTGGAGAGGCCCAGCCCGGGGAGAAGAAGCGGCGTATGGCCTGCACGTGCCCCAACTGCAAGGACGGGGAGAAGAGGTAATACAGGGGCAAACCACAGCACGGTGACTGCCCGGCTCCACAAGCTGCTCTGTAAGATAAGCGGCAGCTCCCAACTCCCGCCTCCCAACTTTCCTGAGCTCTCTGACTGACAGCATGGCTTCTCTCCATTCTCTCCCCTCCGTCTCTTCCCTTTCCTCTCAACCCAACCCCCTCAGGTCTGGGGAGCAGGGCAAGAAGAAGCACGTGTGCCACATCCCAGACTGTGGAAAAACTTTCCGGAAGACATCCTTGCTTCGGGCCCACGTCCGCCTGCACACTGGGGAGCGACCCTTTGTCTGCAACTGGTTCTTCTGTGGAAAGAGGTTCACACGGAGCGATGAGCTCCAACGACATGCTCGAACCCACACAGGTCAGTTTCCCCCAGGCATGTCCTTCAGCTACCCTTTGTGCATATCCCCCCACCCCCGCCCCCGCCCCTGTTGAGGAGTTTCTAGAGCCATGCAGACCACCAGGGAGTTCTTTCAAGTCGATGTTGCCCAGAATTGGGTGGACATTATACAGCCTCTGTAACCTCTTGTCATTTCTATAGAGCTGTTTCTCGAGCACTGAGCTGGGCACCTATTGTCTTATCAGTAGAGATCGGGAAGGAATTCAGAGCCAGCCTGGGTAACATGAGAGAGAGTGTCACAAGCAAAATAAACTGGAAAACCCCACCGAGCTCTGATGAGGTTTGCCAGGCACTGTGTTTTTGCATTTTCAGATAATGGGTCAGTTAATCCCAGTAAGGCCTTGGAGAGGTTTGGGAAGTGGCTAGTTAGTGGTGGACAAATTGGGTTCCAATCCAGGCCCTTGGGCTCTTAAACCCACATTTTTATTTTTATTTTGAGATTGGTTCTGGTAATGTCTAGGACTTGAGGTCCTTCTGACTCAGCCCTCCTTTTTTTGGTGGGGGGGGGGTGACAAGATTTTGCTCATGTTCCAGACTGCATTTGAGCTTGGCAACAGTCTTGCCTCAGCCTCCCCAAGTGTTGGGATTACAGGGGTGAACACCACACCCAGCTTTTTTTGTTCTTAAGGCAAGATTTTGTTGTATAGCCTAGGTTTACCTTAAATTCATGACACTCTCCTGTCTTGTAAATGCTGGGATTACAGGCCTGCTCCAACATGCCTGGTTTACTGCAGGCCTGCCTTGATAGCAGCATAGGTTTGGTACCAAGGTTGCTATCACAGTTCTGTGCTTTAATGTAGTAACAAAGTCAGGCCAAACTATAGAAAAGTGTCCTGGGCGTGCCCAGTGCTCCACAAGGTCCACTGGCAGATACTGCTGTAGTCAATGATGTCCTGCTGAGCAGAGGCTGGAGGTAGGGGACGTGTGACCCAAAGTTACAGTTTCTAGCCGGATCATACCCCCTCGGTTGCAGAGGTCTAACGTGCTCTAAACTCAGTGGGGAAGGACGTCTTCCTACAAGGAGGAAGGTGTTGATCAAGTTCAGAATGAAGCAGGTATAGAGGCTGTCTGGGCAAGGCGCAGGGACTGACCAGAGTGAGGTAGACTGGAAGGGACAGCCGGGGCAGAGAGCTGAGGTAAGCAGATGACAGACAGGAACCCATTAGTGGAACATGGAGATAAGGCTCTCACGTGTGCGTCTCCTTCTGGACTATAGCAGTGTCATACGTGGGCTCTCTGGTAACAGTTATTTCCTCTTCCCAGGGGACAAGCGCTTTGAGTGCGCCCAGTGTCAGAAGCGCTTCATGAGGAGTGACCATCTCACCAAGCATTACAAGACCCACCTAGTCACGAAGAACTTGTAAGGCCAACTGAGGCAGGAGGCCCTGAAGATGGAATCCCCCATCTGATTGGCCCGGGTCTATGGTGGACAGGTGCCCACAACTGCCCTGGGCGGCCCTCACCCCACTCCTGTTCTGTGGCTGTGTCCCCACAGGGAGGGCCTCTCCTCCTGTGCTCTCCTTCCAAAGGCCCTTCTCATCATGAGCTCCTGGCCTGCTCAGGCTATGGACACTGGCCATGCCCAATGAGACGTTCTAAACCAGGACGCGTGGGGACCCTTATTTCCAAAGGAAAAACATGCATTTCACTCCGTCGAGGAGCAAAGTGAGCCCCCTATCCTAACTCATCCCTGCCCCAACACTGCCGGAGTCCCATTGTGCCATGCCCCCCAATCCTGTGCCCCCTTGCCCCCTCAGTGATCCCCTCTCCTGGCCGCTAGGGACACCCCAGGGCCCTGTACTCAGCCTCCCACTGGCGCCCACCTCTGCGGAGGCTGGGGAGGCCACCTCCACTCCACTGCCCAGCCCTGCCACGGCTCTCCTCCAGACATTCCAACTTCTATTTGAAAGGTCAGATGCCGGCGGACTCTTCCCACTCCTGTTTCTATGGAGAATGTTGCCTTACACTTAGACTTCAGATGATGAACACTGTGTATGTGTGTGCTTTAAAGACATTTTATTTAATTGCTCCCTTCCTTTCTTCACTAGTCGCCTCCCCTCACCTGCGTTCAGTTTAGGGTTTGGGGGGCAATGCTGAGCATAGGAATCTTTCTCACTAACAGTTCTTTTCTAAATGACACATTTCAACTCCGATCTGGACTCCCATGAGAAAGCACCTCCCATTCTGACTCCCTCCACACCCTTCTATCTCATCGCCCTACCTGCCCAAGCTCTTGTGTACAGTGTATATTGTATAATAGACGATTGTGTCTACGACATGTTTTAAAAAAAACATATTGCTTGTTATTTTTGAGGCTTTTAAATTAAACAAAAATCCAACTTTATTTTTCGTTGTAACTGCTTGAGGATGTTTTATTAATTAAGTGACAGATTTGTTATCCTTTATTAACAATGTATTTTGTTGGTCAGTGATGGGCTGACAAAAATTTTCTTGCTAATAAATTTAGTTGCCTGAGGCAAAGTCTACTATTGGCAGTTGGGCTCCCTTTGTCTGTTACTTTAGAGGCCTCATAGAGGGGCCTCCTGGGAGCTGCGTGCTCTCAACCTACCCTCCTGGCCCTAGCACGTCCAGGCCTTGGTCCCAAAGAAGAGTGTTCAGAGCATCTCTGGAGGAGAACCTCTGGGGACTTTCGGAGTCCAGAGATTAATGCAAACGTCTCTGCTTTTTTCCTTCTCTAGCCAGTCTTGCTTCTGCCACAGAGATAAATCCTAGAAGGAACTTCTTGAGCTGGTGGACTAACTACTCTACACCTGCACCAGCCCCCGGGGAAAAGAGGAAGGCGTTTGCCGCCCAGTCCCTAAGAAGCTAGCTGATGAGTTAAAAACCTTGGCTTACAAGGTTGGGCTTGCAGAAACCACAGTTCCCATGGAGAGAGAGAGTTCTTCCCATGGTGGAGGACCATTTCAGAGTCAGCAGCTAGAGGCCCAGCTTTTCCTGAGAGAGGCCCTTAACTAACCTTGGGTTCTACTCTTCTGTGCCCTCACCCAGTCCCTCAGAGGGCAGCCAGTTGGCCACGCCTCCCACTTTCAGGGCTGTAGATCCAAAGTTATGATAGGGACTTTTTCATCTTGGCAGAACTACAGAGAAGTCAGGGGTTAGGATTTATTCAGATTTAAAACTGGACTTAAATGTGTAAGGGGGGAAGGCTGAAGAGTAGCAGAAGGCTGGAGGAAGACGTCAGCCTGCCTCAGACATGCAGAAAACTTTGTACTTACCCTCAGACCAGCCAGGACCACAGTTCTGTTGAGTGCTGAGATGTCTGCGCTGGCGTCCTCTTATGCTCCATCCTTTGTCACCAGTCACCGGCACTAGCCAACAGCAGCTTTTCCCCAGAGCCAGTCGACCCCCACATAGCTGAAAAATAGAAAGGACATGGACCTCTGTTGGATCTAGGCTCTCTGCCTTTAATCACTTCTCTGTCCGCAGGTGAACCTTGCTGCCTAGTCTCGAGCCCTTTGGGCAATAGTAGACCAACAGCTGGATCATCCCTGACACAGAAGCCCCATTGGCCCATCAGCCTGCATCTCAGTGTAGGCTGGGGAAGGAAGACCTTACTATGCTCTATGTCCTGCGTTTTGCAAAGGGGCAGGGTGCACTAGCCAACTGACCTCTTTCTGTCACAGGATTACCTGGGGCTGACTCCAAGGCCTGTACTTTATGCTGAGTTCACTCTTGGCCTCCTATACCTGAGAGCTGTAGTGGTCAAGGCGTTGTGCTTACCCTCCCCTGAGCAAGAGACCTCTCCACCAGATACTTGAAGGAGCTATTGATGACTAGAGACAAGCCACACCCAGAGGTTTAAGGGGGCCCCTACATCTGTACCAGGGCTCCCCCTCGCGTCTGTGCCTCTGTGCTCCTCTCAATCAACGCTGACACCAGGGTTACCTCCTGGAGAAGGGGTGGCAGAGACCTACTTCTGAGGGCAAACTCAAGCAATGTACTGCTTTGCTCTGTTTCCTTCTGACTTTCTCAGACAATCTTGTATAGCACTCAAGGGGGCCTTGATCTCAAGATCCTCTCACCTCAGCCTCCTGAGTGTGGGGACTCTAGGCACGTGCCACCACACATAGGGGGATAGAGGAGTTTCTTCTTCTTCTTCTTCTTCTTCTTCTTCTTCTTCTTCTTCTTCTTCTTCTTCTTCTTCTTCTTCTTCTTCTTCTTCTTCTTCCTCCTCCTCCTCCTCCTCCTCCTCCTCCTCCTCTTCTTCTTCTTTTCTTTTTTGTGGGGTGGGGGTATTCTTCAAGACAGGTTTCTCTGTTGAACAGCCCTGGCTGTCCTGGAACTCCCTTTGTAGACCAGATTGGCCTTAAACTCAAAGAGATCTTCCCGCCTCTGCCTCCCAAATGCTTGGATTAAAGACATGTGCTACCACTGCTCAGCTTCTTTTTTTTTTTTTTTTTTTTTTTTTGGTTTTTCCAGACAGGGTTTCTCTGTAGCTTTGGAGGCTGTCCTGGGCTCAGCTTCTTTTTTAAAAGCATTTATTTATTTTTATTTTATGTACACGAGTGTTTTGTCTGCATATATGTATCTGCACCACATGCCAGAAGAGGACATTGGATCCCTTGGAACTGGGAACTAAATCGTGGTCCTTTGCAAGAGCAGCCAGTGCTCTCCAGCGCCTTCTTTCCTTTTTTTAGAGTCTGTCATGGTAGAAAAGCCATGGTGTTTGGGTGTGCGGGATGCTACTCACATTGAATCAATAGTTAGGAAGCAGAAAGAGAGGAACCCCAGTGCTCAGCTGGCTCCTGCCCCCTTTTCCCCCCTTTTTTTTTTTTTTTTTTTTTTTTGTTGTTGTTTTTTCGAGACAGGGTTTCTCTGTGGCTTTGGAGGCTGTCCTGGAACTAGCTCTTGTAGACCAGGCTGGTCTCGAACTCACAGAGATCCGCCTGTCTCTGCCTCCCAAGTGCTGGGATTAAAGGCATGCGCCACCAATGCCCTGCTTCCTGCCCCCCTTTTTAGTCAGTCTTGGACCAGCCCAGGATGGGTCTTCAGTTATACCTCTCCAGGAACCCTCACATGATTCTAAATCTAGCCCAGTTAGCAAAGAGTAATTACCACCCTTACCAACTGTGATCAAACACCTCTGGCCCCTATGATGGAAGATGCATCTAATGCATCTCTAAAAGTCTCCGTAGTCAACAGTTCTCACAGCAAAGGTCAACTCTGTCTCTCCTGAAGCTCAGGAAGACGCTTAACTGGGAGCCCCTGTGAGACAATAACAGGTGACACGTGTGTGAGTGACGCGTCTCCAACACACAGGGTAAACGCCCTCATGCCAACACAGGAAAGAAGCACAGGAAAAATCAGACCAAAGCAACACTAAGGTCAGGCAGAGGAAACCTGAAGCTTGTCTGGCGGTGGTGGCGCACACCTTTAACCCAGCACTTGGGAGGCAGAGGCAGGTGGATATTTGAATTCAAGCCAACCTGGTCTACAGGGTGAGTTCTAGGGCAGCCAGGGTTATACAGAGAAACCCTGTCTTGAACCACCTGTCCCCAAACAAAACCCTGCAGCTCCATAACTGGCATCTGGGACTCCTGGTGGCACCATCTAGGCTCTAAAGGCCACAGGTACCCCTGCCCTTCCAGCTCTGCTGCCTAAATCACACATAGCTTCTGTTGAACCAGCTCCACTCCATGCCTGCAGCTCTTCTCAGCTGATGTCCCATTCCCTAGAACCTCGGGTCTAGGTCTCTACTGCATCTTAGGTTTCACCTTCCCAGCCTCAGACAGTGGCTTCTCAGGGCCTCCTTATAAGGAGTCCAAGCCTACCACGTAGCACCTGGCTTCAGGGGCTTTCAGGAACACTGATGTAAGTCTCCATGACTCCATAACTGCATTTTGCATGCCTGCAAAACCACATGGACAGTGTTGGTAAACTGTGCTCTAGATGTGGTCTGACCGCCTTCTGCCCTCAGGACACCTTCCCTAGGCAGAGTGTGGTCTCTCTAGTTAATGTGACCATTGGTCTTATTACTCTATTGCTGTGAAGACACACCGTGATCAAAGCAAGTCTTATAAAAAGAAAGCGTTTAGCTGGGGATTTGCTTACCCTTTGAGAGGGTTAGTCCCTGATCATCACAGCAGGAAGGAGACAGGCAAGTCATTGGAGTAGTAGCAGACGACTTTACATCCTGGTCTTCTGCTTGATCTGCAACAGGCAAAGAAACACAGCACCTGGTATGGGCTTTTGCATCCACAAGGCCACACCTCCTAATCCTTCCCAAATCTTTCCACTAACTGGGGCCCAAACATGTAAACATAGGAGCTTATAGGGACCATCTTCATTCAAACCACCACACAGTTAATCTAGTTCATGGAACAGCTGGTTTCTCCTTTCTCTGCACCTGCACCATTCACAATTTAAAACTTAATCACCTCCTTGTTTTCAACAATTGAACATTTTTCACATAATTCTGACCAAGAGCAACAAGCATACTATGCTATCTTAAAATTTCCTCTGTTGGCTGGGCAGTCGTGGCGCACGCCTTTAATCCCAGCACTTGGGAGGCAGAGGCAGGCAGGTCTCTGTGAGTTCGAGGCCAGCCTGGTCTACAGAGCGAGTTCCAGGACAGCCTCCAAACAATACAGAGAAACCCTGTCTCGGAAAAAAAACAAAAACAAAAACAAAAAACCAAAAACAAAAAAACAAAAATTTCCTCTGCCAAATATCTTAACCCTTGTCCTTTGAATTCAATCTGATTTAAGTTTTCAGGACATAGGCAGAAAGCAGGCAGATTCTATTGATTTTGCTATAATATAATACAAACGGCTTATTCCTAGTTTCTAATAGGGTCTGCTGACAACCCATAAACATGTGCCTGCCATCTGCCCCCTGAGGTTCAGTCATCCACACTCTGCCCATACGTTCTGTCGAGCATGTTAAGCATCTCGAGCCTCCCGCTATCTTAGGTGAGAGAAAGGGGCCTGGTCATTAATCTGCACACTTTCCCCCACCTTCCTCTGAGGCCTCAAATGCTTCAATCCATTAAATTTAGCTTTAGCCAGGTGCGGTGGCACACGTCTGTAATCCCAGCACTAAGGAAGTGCAGGAATGAAGGCCAGGAATTAAGGACTAATCATGGCTACATAGTGAGTTCAAGGCTAGGCTATGCTGCATGAGACCCTGTCTAAACAAACAAACAAATAAATAAATAAAGCTGAGTCTCTCCTTGCACTAAGAGTGTAGCTCAGTCAGTAGAGTATTTGCCTGAAATGCACGAGTTCAACCCTGGAACCACGAAACAAATTTACTCCTTTTCTAACCTGCAGGCCCTAGAAGAGCTGGGCATGTTAACTAAGGACAGGCCATGAGGTGACCTCTTATGTCTCTTCCTAGTCTTGAAGGCTGCAGGGTCAGAGGTCAGAAGGGCTACATCCTACCTGCCCTCAAGCACCAGCTCTTTGAGGTATCACAGCAATGCCCACTCCAGGTTCCTCTCAGGCTGTGCATTTTATACATTGTCCTCCACGAACACTGGCCCAAAGCTTATACACTGGTTACACTGGTGATGACAGGGAGGCCACAGTGAGGGACACCCCAGGCTCTCTAATTGATGATAGGGAAATGACCTAGGGGCAGGCGTTCGTTCTCTCTCTCTCTCTCTCTCTCTCTCCCTCCTCTCTCTCTCTCTCTCTCTCTCTCTCTCTCTCTCTCTCTCTCTCTCTCTCTCTCTCTCTCCCTCTCTCTCTCTCTCTCTCTCTCTCTCTCTCTCTCTCTCTCTCTCTCTCTCTCTCTCTCTCTCACACACACACACACACACACACCTGCAGAGCTCAGACAGACAGATACCACCATCCTCCTTTACTCCAGGCAAAAGTAAAGGCTGCAATGGCAGAGGTTTTGCAGACTTTATCCTTAAATAACGTCTCCCCGCCCAAGGTCCACCACATCTCCTTTCAGACCTCCAGAGTAGCCTGTTGTTGTCACTGCAGCAATGAGGATGCCTTTAATAACCTGAACCACAAAGTCACCTGAAGAAAGACTGGAGCCAGACTGGGATGTAGGCCCATAATCCCAACTACTGGGGAGGCTGGGCATGAAGAGGATTGAATGCGTAAGGCCAGCCTGGGCTACAAAGTGAGTTCGGGTCAGTCTTGCTAACTTAGTGAGACCTAATCTCAGAATAAAAGGTAAAAGGACAGCTGAGGGTGTAGCTCAGTGGTAGAGAGCTTGCCTGTTGTGGGCAAGGCCCTGGGTTCAACTCCACGTACCTAATGGAAACACACATCACCCCCAAGCCAGTGTGACAGGCCACGCTGGTATTCCCAGCATTTGGGAAGCTGGGGCAGGAGACTGCTGTTGAGTTTGAGACCAGCTTTGTCTATATATGGTGAGTTTTAGGTCAGCAAGACTACAGAGCAAGATACTGTCTCAACCCCTCCCCCACCTCTCTTCAAAAACTCACCCAACCAACTTCACAATTAGAGTAGACCACACAGTCACAACCTATGGAGGAGAGGTGACTACACCCCTGAGGGTCCAGAGACATGAGGCAAAGGCTCTGGCTTGGGACAGAACTTGCTAGCCATAACCTACCTTTATTCCACCCCTTGTTTCACCATGCACAAAGCGGCCACCTGCAAAATCCCTGGTCAGTGGAATATAGACTGTAGAGACCTAAATCAGGAGAGATCCTGCCTCAGGCCTGGACTACTTGTGAGTTAACCAAAGCCTCTCTCTTTTTTCCCCCACTTCTCAGATTTATTTATTTGCTCTTACATTTTCTCTCTCCGTGTGTGTGTGTGTGTGTGTGTGTGTGTGTGTGTGTGTGTGTGTGTGTGTGTGTATCCACACGCCATGGGGCATGTGGAAACTAGAGGGTGACTTGCAGAAGTCACCCTCCTTCTACCATGTGGGTCCTAAGGATCCAACTCAGTTTGTTAGAGGCAGGTGCCCTCATCTACAGAGCTACCTCTCTAGCCCTTGACTTAAATCTTTGGGGTCAATGTGAAATCATTTGTTTGTTTGTTTTTGTTTGTTTGTTTGCAGACAGGGTTTCTCTGTGGCTTTGGAGGCTGTCCTGGAACTAGTTCTTGTAGACCAGGCTGGTCTCGAACTCACAGAGATCCGCCTGCCTCTGCCTCCCGAAGGTGAAATCATCAAAGGTGTCAGTTGCACAGGGAAGTCAGAGGAGGACATCAGGTGTCCTCTTCCCTGGAGACAGGCTCTCCCACTAAACCTGATGTCTTTTTTCACTATAGATGGGCATTTCCTGAGCATGCCTGTGGGCTAAGATTTTTAGATGGAGCCACAGAAGTCACATGGTTACCCTCACCGCTCCTCAGACAGGCTTCCAGGCTCATGAACAACACCAGCCACACTGGATGAACACCATAGACCAAGTAGGGAAGCCATCTGGGTGATGGCAGAAGTGGGATATGAATTTCCATGTAGAATGACAAAAGTGTAAAAGGGATTTTAGAAACAAAAGAACAGAGAGAAGCATGGCTTCTTAGTAGCAGCATTTTTCTCGGGTAAGCTCCGTTTTGCTAGAGACAAGCAGAGACTTGCCGGCCAGTACTGGTGGTAACTTACGCCTGCTATCTTGCAAAAACAGCAGTTAAAACAGCCACAGTTTTGATTAGCAATGTTGTTTAGCAGATAACAGACACGTGGCCATAAAAACATAAAGATTTACAGTAAAGTCAGATTCAGATGGAGAAAAACATCTAAAGGTTTACAGTGTGTTTAAAAATGTTTGTAGGCTTGGGAGAGAAAAAGAAACAAAGTAAAGTGGTTTAAAAAAAACAGAACGTCTGGGCAGTGGTGGCGCACACGCCTTTAATTCCAGCCCTCCAGAGGCAAGGACAGGCAGATTTCCACAGAGAAACCCTGTCTCAGAGTAAAATAAATAAATAGAAGTAAAAGAAGAAGAGTAATAAAACAGCCAAGTAAAAATGGAAAATACACAGAGTCTGGATATTGTATGCTATTATGTCTTTCAGTTGTTCAATTACTAAGAAAGAAACAGCTGCTAGGCGGATCTCTGTGAGTTCGAGGCCGGGCTGGACCGACAGCCTCCAAAACAATACAGAGAAACCCTGTCTCGTAAAAACCAAAAAAAAAAAAAAAAAAAAGAAACAGCTGCTAAAATATACTTGATAATGAATGCTGCTAAATTAATCCAACTTATATATTTTAAAAATGCTTTGACTTCTAAATCTAAACATAAGGACAGGTTACTTGGGAAAAAATATTTTATTTATGTTTGCACAAAAAATGGAAAGCTATGGATTCCTTCCAGGCTTCTGTGGTTTGATGAACCAAGATCTCCCGGAAGCAGTGGCCCAAGTTTTCCAACATCTAAAACAGCTGAGATGATGCAGCCTTACGGACTACAAAAACAAGGACTTGGCCAGGTTTCTGAGTTTTGTCATGATCCCCATGGTATGAACAGCATCCCCTATCAGCAGGAAGCAGTTTGGAATGAACCAAGTCCAAATTCCCAAATATTGTTTATAAATCTTTGTTTTCATTTAAATGGGGTTGCTTATAATTGGTTAATGATCACAACCAATCTCTTTTTAAAGGTAAAAGGGGATTATGGTATGGAAATGAATACTTTATATTGGTATGGTTTTTCATTTATTGATATAAATTTAAGTTCAATTTTGTGATATGTATATTTCTCCTCTTGATTAAGTATTGTGTTCATACTGATCTTTTTTTTTTTTTTTTTTGGTTTTTCGAGACAGGGTTTCTCTGTGGCTTTGGAGGCTGTCCTGGAACTCGCTCTGTAGACCAGGCTGGCCTCGAACTCACAGAGATCCGCCTGCCTCTGCCTCCCGAGTGCTGGGATTAAAGGCGTGCGCCACCAACGCCCGGCCATACTGATCTTTTAAAATGTAATATATAATGAAATACAGATTATAGATAGTTACCTATAAGTCAGAACTTATAGTTAGGTTAGTTAGGTTTTCTAGATATAGAGAATATTTGAGATATAGAGATAGTCTTCACACCTTTCAAAGACCTTCAGAAAATGGCATTTAAATGGTTTAGGGTTTTTCTTGACAATGAGAAATGTCCACTCCTGGCACATCAATTACATCTGAAAGGAAGATGGGCATCAAAGAAACTCGTTATGGAGTTTGCTTTTGACATGGCAAGATTTGCCATTTGAGCAAGAAACTGCTCTTGCCTAGACTGATTGTTGCTGTATAATCTGGACATGCAGGACCCACAGAAAAATGACTACTGAATCTGGACAGTCCTTCAGGGTTCCTGCTTCATGCAAGAGTCTGCCAGACTTTCTGCAGGACACAGAAAAATGACTGACAGACTGCCAATGCAGTTTGAAATTTCTTGCTTTGCTGAGAAGTCTTCCAGACACATTGTGGCCTATGGGCTGAAGATGGATGCCCCAACATTACAGAGGAACCTCGGGTGACTGTCCAGGTAGTGACTTGTCTCTGTCTATTATAGTGTTTATATATTATCCTTCTGTAGTCTTTGATGGAGTTGAAGACAGATAGTTACAATTATAGTTTTCCTTAGTTATAATAAAAGGTAAGTTACATATAAGACTTTAGACTCACAAAGATAGGATAGATGATATTTTCTTTGAATCTTACTGAATGTTAAGGACAAAATATTGTAACTATAGTTCTTGCTTGATAACTGTTCTGTTATATATAATTTGACTATGTTAAAGTTAAAGTCTTTCTTTTTTTTTTTTTAAGATTTATTTATTTGTCACATATACAGTGTTCTGCCTACATGCCAGAAGAGGGCACCAGAATGAATTGTAGATGGTTGTGAGCCACCATGTGGTTGCTGGGAATTGAACTCAGGACCCCTGGAAGAGCAGTCAGTGCTCTTAACCTCTGAGCCATCTCTCCAGCCCTAAAGTCTTTCTTTTTATTTAGACAGAAAAGAGGAGATGATGGGGGAAGTTCTGATATATGTCAATAAAGCACTGTTGGCCAACAGGGAAGCAAGATAGGTGGGACTAGGAGTCCAGGAGGATTCTGGGAAATGTAGTGAAGGTAGCCATGTGATCTCCCGGGAGCAACAGGCGCTCAGGAGTGCGTCCTCAAAAAGATAAGTCCTTATAAGATATATATTAGTAATTACGGGTTAATAATCAACTCGGAGCTAGCTGATAAGAAACCAAGCAAACGGCCAACAGCTTCTTAATTACTATAGTGTCTTGTGTGTTATTTGGGGACTGAAAGCGACAACAGGACCAGGTGGCAGGCAGGAAGAGTACACGTTACAATCTGGGTGTAGGAGGCAGGGCTTAACCACACAGTCCCACAGACAGGGCACTGATAAGGCTGGGCCTCCCCAAGTCCTACCCACAGCAAGCCACTGATAAGCTACTCTGGGCTCAGCCACCAGCTTGCAGGAAGCCAACTTTCACCTTTCCATGTGTCTGTTGCTCCAAACTGAATTCACCCAGATTGAGAATTCCAGAGCTTGGTCCCCAGCCCAATCCATGTCTTGGGCATAGACCTTCCCCCTGCTCCCCACCCCAGGAGAGCTGGAGGTGGTATCGTGCCAACATCATTGTCCTTGACCTCCCCACCATCCTCCTTAATTCCAAGCCACTCTTTTCACACAACTTCAGCTTTCCTGTGGCTTCAAGTGCCATTCTGGAGGTGCATCATACTGAACTGGTATCCTCAGCCTGGGCCCCTCCCCTGGACTCCAGCTTCCATTTTCCAGCCAGGTCAAACATGGGTGTCCCATTAAACCCTCAACAGTTCTGCTAATGAATTCATCTGTCCCCAAAACTTCTCCAACGGATACATAGCAGCACCCACACAGTCTAAAGCCAGCTCAGCTGAGCAGATCCCCACTCTACGCTCCCTCTCAATGTTTATATATTAGTTATATCCCTGCCCCCACCCCTAGCTTCCACTTGGACAACACGTTAGCTGTTTCCAGCAGCTTCCACCCACTAGCTTCACCCTCCCTTCCTTGTCATCCACTTCGGTGCCAGAAGCAGGTTCCAAAATACAAATCCAATTACTAAAATTAAAAATAAAAACCAGCACCATGCAGTGGTGGCACACACCTTTAATCCCAGAATTTGGGATTAAAGGGAGGCAGAGACAGGAGGGAATCTCTGAGTTTCGAGACCAGCCTGGTCTACAGAGGGGAGCTCCAGGGCAGCCAGAGCTACACAGAGGAACCCTGCCAGGAAAAGTAAAAAAAGAAAACCCAGCTACATGTGGTGGCACACGCCTTTGATCCCAGCACGTGGGAGGCAGAGGCAGGTGGATCTTCTTGAGTTCAAGGTCAGTCTGGTCTACAGAATGAGTTCCAGTACAGTAAGAGCTAAAGAGTGAACCCTGGCTCAGAAAAAAAAAAGAAAAAGAAAAAGAAAAAGAAAGAACCAATTATCTCATCAGACAATTAAATGAAAAGGTAGTTAAAAAAACAAAAGTGATGCATGACTTTAATCCCAGTACTAAGAAAACAAGAAGCAGGAGGATCTCTGTGAGTTTGTGATGAGCCTTGCGAGTTCCAGAACAGCCAGAGTTACATAGTGATAGTCTGTCTTGGCTTAAAGAAGGAGGAGGGGGAGGAGGAGGAGGAAGAGGAGCAGGGAAGGAAGGAAGGAAAGAAGGGAGAAAATAAAAACACTTTGGAAGCAAACAGTCAAGACACAGCCCCTGAACCCCAAACTTCACTGCTCCATCCTGCGAGAACAGCATAGCTCTCTGTGCAATGCAATTTTGGGAGGCATTGCTTTGCTTGAGTTAGGCCTTTCTCAAGAAAAGAATACTACAAAGTTGGATGCAGTACCAATAACAAAACGCAGTGCCAGTTCCAAGAATGAAAAGGGGCATCAGCCAAGGAGGTTCTGCCTCTGGTTACACAGCAGGGCTGCCTTGTGGTTCAGACACCAAATCCCACGAAGCAGAAAAGCACCACTGCCTTTCTTTTGAGACAAATTCTTGCTAAGCCGCTCAGGCTGGCCTCAAATTCATGATCCTCCTGCCTCAGTCTCTCAGGTAGCTGACTCAGGCGCATTCCATCACTTCCACCACACCTGCCCAACTCAAAGTGGTCTTAAACAAACAAAAACACCCAGCACAAAATAGGCTCTTGGCTCCACAATGTCTTAAGATAAAACATTAGAGCCATTGGGTCTAAAAGGTGGGCCCTCCCTACCTTCACGGTGGGTCTTCAGCAAGGAGCCCAAGTCCCTGCCTGCTCATCCTGTTCCTCACTCCCTGGTTCCAGCAGCATCCCACTGCTTGCTCCAAGGTCCCAGATGCTGTTACCGACCACCTTCCCTCTTCCCGACCACCTGTTCCACTGCCCATCCGGCAAATACTCCTTAAGACAAATCTACTGTCGGCTCCCTTGACGAAGCCTTTCTGAACTGACTGTCCCTTTGGTTCTGTTTTCCTTTGCCTAACAGAAACATGTTAACCAAGCTGGGTGGTGGTGGCGCACGCCTTTAATCCAAGCACTCGGGAGGCAGAGGCAGGCGGATCTCTGTGAGTTCGAGGCCGGGCTGGACCGACAGCCTCCAAAACAATACAGAGAAACCCTGCCTCGTAAAACCAAAAAAGAAAAAAAAAAAAAAAAAAGAAAGAAACATGTTAACCACCTGCAATTCTCTCTCTGGTTCACAGATCTACCACTGTGGATAGGAATCATGCTCTTTTTTGTTTTGTTTTGTTTTTTGTTTTTTTATTTTTTGAGACAGGGTTTCTCTGTATTGTTTTGGAGGCAGGAATCATGCTCTTGCCTTCAAAAATGAAGGTATTGTCAGACCTGGCTCAATGCCTGGTCCACAGGCAGTCTTTAGCAAATGTTTATCAAATGAATGGCTACAGAAATGCGCATCTCATAGTATTTTTGGTTGTGAGCCTAGCCTTTAGCGGCTGAGCCATCTCTCCAGCCCAGTATTGTTTTTTTAAAGGCAGGGGTCACTATGTAGCCATGTTGGATCTCATGATCCATTCACCTCAGTCCCCCAAGTGCTACTAGAGTCACAGATGTGTGGCACTACATGTAACTCATGCTCTTGCCTTTAAAGTCTTGGTACCTATAAAACTCTAGCTCCAGTGTGACAGTAGCCCAGAATGGAACCTTACAAAGAACACTAATGCCTACTTAGATAACTGCAAAGACCTGGCAACTGTCTCCATCATGTTCATGGGAGAAAACAATGATGAGACCAAAAATTCCAACAGGTGAAGAGTCCATAGACTCATACAACTGAGCTTTGCCTTTTTCAAGACAGAATCTTATGGAGACCAGGCTAGCCTCACACTTGCTATATAGCTAAGGCTGGCCTTACCCGAGTGCTGAGATTACAAACAGGCACACACCACTATGCCCAGCATGCTTCAACTTGTTTCTGCATAGCAGATTCCATTAGCCCAAGCTATGAACACACGATGACAGGTCCCCACTGCAGACACTAGGCAGGCCAAGAAGTCCCCTTACCTGGCACAGTTCTAGGTGCCTGTGTAGCGGCTCTTGTAGCTCCCATTCCAGAGGTTGGCAGACACCAGGACTACAGTCATCCCCACCACACCACTTCTGAGCACGCCATCCACAGCCTGAAATCATGTTGCAGGCACCTGTTCCCCTGTATCCTCGGCCGGCTATTGCTGGCATTGACGGACAACTATCTATGCCTCCCCACCACCTAGGAAAGAAAAAAGGTGGAAAGGGGAAAGGAACCAAGATGCAAGAGGCCTGGGAGAGGGGCAGTCCTTCCTTCCACCTGTTAGAGCAGTGGCTACTGCATTTATCCATTGCCTAGGGATAGCTAGGACGCTCGGAGCCCAGGCCACCACTTAGGGAAAGAGGCAGGAGTGGGTTCTAAGTCATAAGGGAAGACCATTCTGGCCTGGGGTAACCGGACCCCAATTTTCCCTCTTCTTTCTATCCAGCCGCCTCCCTTCTCACCTCGGAGTCTCCCCCATGACCCCCACGGCATCTTTCCAGTCCCCAGAGTACCATCCCACCCTCACGCCCATCAGCACCTGCCCGTGTGGTTCACAAGGCGTTTCAGCCTTCCCTCCTTTCAAGCCACAGTCTTTTCCCTCAGCCAGACTACCCCCTTTTTCTCTGTGTCCCCATCACCTTGCTTCAGAGTCCGGCTCTAATGCCTTGTTTCCTTCCCCGGGTCACCAACCTCCGCTTCCAGGAGGTGCTTCCTGCCCAATGCTCTTCTTCAGTAGCCCGGCAACTTAATGCAGACCACTCCTCTTCAGCTCCCGGGACTTCGCCCCGCCCCCCGCCTCGGCGCAGCGGTCCCTTTACCTTTAACAAACCTCCACGTGCTGTTAAAGGCGGTGACAGCATTTCCTTGTCTCTCTGCTTCGGTCCCTGGAGGCGCAGCCTATTGGCTCCTGGACTCCGCTGGTCTCGTTCTAATTGGTTTCGCTGCAGGAAACTCAAACCAATGAGCTCTCCGCGTCGATCTCCCTGCTCTGATCCTGGACAGCTATTGGCTGTCCTGGCACCGAGAACTTAGGACTTGTTAGCTTGTCTGGGCTGCTAACAAATTCTTCCCAGGCTAGACACCCTGGCTAGGCAATTGGTTCCGAACCCAGGGCCTGGCGACGTCGGATCACGTGACCGGCTTTCCTACATGACGAGCGGGCTGCTGAGCGTCACCGGGACGTTCAGGCGACCTTCGAAGTGGCCAGGCTACCTTCGTCACCTGTGCTGTCGGGGTGCTGTCATGGACCTGGGACCGATGCGCAAGAGTTACCGCGGGGACCGAGAGGTGCAGCCACTGTCGCCCGGACACGAAAAGGGGGTGTCCCTGAGTCGTCTACCAAGGGGTTGGAGGATCGTCTTGGGGTCTCTGGGGCCACATATATGGCAATAGGATTTAGGGATTACGGTGGTGGGAAAACGGGGTTTCAGAGACATCAGCTGGGGAGGAGAATGTGGAATAAAGATGTGCTCGCTCATAGGCCCCTGCCTTAGTGGTGAGGGGTACTGACTTCAGAGCCCACCTGTGTTGGAACCCAGAGCTCTTCTGACCATATCACCTTGGGCAACTTAGCCTCTCTGGGCCTCAGTTTACCAACCTGTAAAGTGACACTACCTACTTTACAAGGATGCTGTGGATTTAGGGTTCTTTTTTTTTTTTTTTTTTTTTTTTTTTTTTGGTTTTTCGAGACAGGGTTTCTCTGTGGCTTTGGAGGCTGTCCTGGAACTCGCTCGGTAGACCAGGCTGGTCTCGAACTCACAGTGATCCGCTTGCCTCTGCCTCCCTAGTGCTGGGATTAAAGGCGTGCGCCACCAACGCCCGGCGGATTTAGGGTTCTTATAATTTTTAGATTTTTATTCATTGTGTGTGTGCATGTGCGTGTGTGTGGTGTCAAAGGACAACTTTTCGGGAGTTTAGTTTTTTTTTTCTACCATGTAGGTCATCCAAGATTGAACTCGGGTCGTCAGGCTTGGTGGTGGATGTCTCTACCTGTGAAGCCGTCTCACCAGCTTGTGTTTAGGGTTTTCCAACTGCAAAACCAGTCACAAGCCAGTGGGTGGTGGTGCACGCCTTTAATCCCAACACTTGGGAGGCAGAGGCAGGCAGATCTTTGCAAGTTAGAGACCAGCCTGGTCTACAGAGCTATTTCCAGGACAGTTAGGGCTGTTACACAGAGAAACCCTGTCTTGAAAAATCAAATAAATAAATAAGGTCACAAAATAATAATGAAGTGGCGGGGCGGTGGTGGTGTGCACCTTTAATCCCAACACTCGGGAGGCAGAGGCAGGTGGATCTCTGAGTTTGAAGTCAGCCTGATCTACAAAGTGAGTTCCAGAACAATACAGTCAAGGCTACACAGTGGAACCCTGCCTTTAAAAGCCAAATGATAATAATAATAATAATAAAGTGGAGGATGGATCTGTAGCTCAGTTGGTAGAGTTCTCACCTAAAACATGCACAAAGGTTTTGGATTTTATTTTTTCCCCCAAGACAGGGTTTCTCTGTGTAGCTTTGGAGCCTATCCTGGAACTCACTTTGTAGACCAGGCTGACCTCGAACTCACAGAGATCCACCTGCCTCTGCCTCCCAAGTGCTGGGATTAAAGGTGTGTGCCACCAACACCCAGCTGGGTTTCATTATTAACACCAAATAAACCAGGCATGGTGGATCCAAAGCTCAGGGTCATTCTTCTGCCACTCAGTCAGTTCAAGGCTAGCCTGAACGCTCTTAGTTTCTAACCCCCTCAGTACGTCTTGAGTCTCTTTCTTTTTCCTCCTCGGTTCAGGGATCAAGAGATCAGTTTTGGAATTGAGATCTAGAGCTGCAGCCGATAAGTGTGATTGCATGTGACCATTTCTGGAAGTGCTTGTCTAAAATGTTGGTTTTCGTAAAACTTAAAACTACTCCATGAGAAGTGATGAGGTGGCCCACAGGACTTTAGCACCTTCGAGGCCTGGTTCATCCCTTTCTGGTTAGGAGATTCAGAAACTCATTGGGCCATTTTATGCCTGTGTCATCACCTGTAAATGGGCACAGAACCTACTTCCTGGTAATGCTTCTTTTGTTTCAAGGTCATCGTTATGAAGACTAAATGCATTTACATTTGAAAGGCACCTCAGCCCCTAGCAGGCACAAAGTAAGCATTATAAGTTCATTAAATGAAGTCACGCTCTCTTTCTAGGCATTTGAGGAGGCTCATCTGACCTCTCTGGACCCCATGAAGCAGTTCGCGTCCTGGTTTGAGGAGGCTGTTCAATGTCCGGACATAGGGGAAGCCAATGCTATGTGTCTGGCTACTTGCACCAGGTAGGCACAACCATGGGCTCCTGTGTGGTTGGGTCCAGATGGAGTCTGAGACTTAGGAAGACCTAAGCTAAGTGCAGTTCTGTTATTAAATTCCCAGGTGAGTTACTGATCATCTCTGAGCCCCAGTAAACCAGTCCTTAACTGGTAAACAAAAGCCAGCTCACTAAGAACTCTTCAGTGATAAAATGCAGCTCCTTATACATCTGGATCCCTGATGTATCCACTCACTACTCACGATCCTTGGCCTCCATCATGCTCCTATCTGCTCAAGCCCTATCACCCTTCATCTCCTGGGACTGCTCCCAAGGCCCTTTCCCTCTCTTGAAACCCAGCATAGGATTTGCCAATTAGTCCTACCCTTTGGGAGATCTATCTGTCTGTCTCTGTTTTTTGTTTTGTTTTGTTTTGAAACAGGGTTTCCCTGTGTAGGCCTGGCTGTCCTGAAGCTCTCTCTCTCTCTCTCTCTCTCTCTCTCTCTCTCTCTCTCTCTCTCTCTCTGGTTTTTCTAGACAGGGTTTCTCTGTGTAGCTTTGGAGCCTATCCTAGCACTCACTGTGTAGACCAGGCTGGCCTTGAACTCACAGAGATCCACCTGCCTCCGCCTCCAGAGTACTGGGATCAAAGGTGTGCGCCACCACCAAGTGAGAGGTCCATGTTAGCCTCTTATTCACTGTCCTTGTCCCTTCTCACTAAAGCACCAGGCTTCAAGACAGGGCTTTGACAGCGTTCTCTGAGTATTACCCAGAGCTCTGGGCAGAGGACCATCCTTCATTGCCCCTTTTTGAGTGGTCAGTTGGCTCCATGCCTTGTTGTTGGTCCTTTCTCTTCCAGTCTTACATGTTTTCAACATTGTCACAGAAAATACCATGGCCTGGGTGGCTTAGGCAATAAAAGTTAACTTTTCACACTTCTGGAGGGTAGAAGTCCAAGAGCAAGTGGCTGTTGGGGATGCTGTGCGCCATGCATCCCTTAGGAGGAAGCTGTTGGATCCTCAAGGAGCCCCTAGACAGTGGTATTACACCTCCACACAAACTCCCAAGGGCATTGTTTGATGGCGTTGGACCCCACAATTCAACACTCCACCCTTTTTTTCCAGTTCATGACTGCATTTGTTTATGTGATTACACGATTGATATTTGCCTCAGTAAGGGGCGTGGCTGAAGGGGTTGTTCAGGGGTGAGAACGCTGGAGTGGGTTCTGACCTGATGCTCTGCTGTGTGCCCCCAGAGATGGGAAACCCTCCGCCCGCATGCTGCTGCTGAAGGGCTTTGGCAAGGATGGCTTCCGCTTCTTCACTAACTACGAGAGCCGAAAGGGAAAAGAGCTGGTGAGGGTCAGGCTAAACCCTTCCCAGGGCCGGCAGGGCCAGCCTCCGCCCTGGCCTTATCGTGATTCCCCATCCATCTCTTCCTCTGCTCAGACTCCCTCTTGCTTCAGGGCCTTTGAGCTCTGTGAATGAGTGAACCACGCCCACCTCCATCATCTGCTACCCAATCAGCTGCGGTTCCTGTAGGTGTCAACCACATGTTCCCTCATTAGGGAACCTTCCTTACCTAACACTGAGTCAGCCCCTGGCACGTGGCACTGTTGGCCCACAGCGCACCTTATAGCTTTACTTTGCTATAGTCTCTGACTATGCATTTGTATGTGCGGTTACATGATTGGTATTTGTCTCCTCCTGCTATACAGTGAGTTCTGTGGAGTAAAGGTTACAGCTTTTATTTAACCCCCTTTGTCCCCAACACCTGTTCTAAAGTGCATAGGAGTTGGCGGTTCATTTGTATTTGGTCATGCCACCCTGAGGTGCACATCCAGTCCATGAGTGAACTGGGTGTGGTGGCACACACCTCCCAGTATTCAGGAGGCTGAGGCAGGAGGATTACTACAAATTTAAACCACCCTAGGCTGCGGAGTAGGACTGTCTCAAAAACAACAAGAAGAACAAAACAAATAATAACAAACATTTCTAAAACCGCAACTGTGGCGATTGGGATGGCCAAGCCTCAGAACTGGTCTTCACATAGCAGCTGTGTGAACTCCATGTTCTCCCGCCCCTTAGAGCCTGTCTTCAGGTCTGTCGCTGTAGGCTCACCTTTGAGAATTTAAATGCCATGTGACAGTGAATGCATCGGTTGAAAGTCTCCTCCATCTCCTGCCTTCCTCATGCAGGAAGCATTGTGTAGCATTGTTTTTCCACACAATGGCACCTATGGCTTCTCTCTCGTTTCCAGGACTCTAATCCCTTTGCCTCTCTAGTCTTCTACTGGGAGCCCCTGAACCGGCAGGTAAGTGAGCATCCCCAAGGCAACTTCCAGTGGACTGTGTGGGCGGGGGTGAATTTATAAATGTACGAAGGGTCGCCAGACCAGTCACACGTTCTGGCTAGTCCTGGGTACTCTGCCTCTCACACAACTCTCAGACAGTCTGGTTGGAGCCAGGCGTGGTGGGGCAGCAGACAGAACAGCGAGAAACATGGCCTGTGCTGGTATGGGGGCTTGGTAGGACCAAGCATCACCTAGCCAGGGTCATCCATGAGCAGGTGCGCGTGGAGGGACCCGTGAAGAAGCTGCCTCAGAAGGAAGCTGAGAACTACTTCCATTCCCGGCCCAAGAGCAGCCAGATTGGGGCTGTGGTCAGCCGCCAGAGTTCTGTGATCCCCGACAGGGAGGTGAGTGGGGCTCCTGCATGATCCTCTTGATTAGTGAGGATCCCCAGAGTTTCTTTTCGGGCCCTGTCAATGTAGCAGAGAGAAAAGGATGATCATGTCCCTAGGGGAAAAGAGTAGGAAGATGGAAAACAGGTTCTGTCCCCCATACCTGGCCTGGGTTCTGCCCCAGACCCTCAAGTGGGTCATGGTCCATGCCTGGCTCTTCTGTCTTCCTTCCCTGGGCAGTACCTGAGAAAGAAGAACGAGGAACTGGGGCAGCTCTACCAGGAACAAGAGGTGCCTAAGCCAGAATACTGGTAAGTGATATCTGTGCCTCACCCACAAAGGGTGGGTGGATCTCCTTCTCCAGGACGCCCTCGTCAGCTTATCCCAGGAGCTTCCCATAAGAGAGCTTTCGATGAGCCGGGCGTTGGTGGCGCACGCCTTTAATCCCAGCACTTGGGAGGCAGAGGCAGGCGGATCTCTGTGAGTTCGAGGCCAGCCTGGTCTACAAGAGCTAGTTCCAGAACAGCCTCCAAAGCCACAGAGAAACCCTGTCTCGAAAAACCAAAAAAAAAAAAAAAAAAAAAAAAAAAGAGCTTGCGATGAGAGAGGAGGAGGGTACAGTAACTCTCTTCTTCTTCCCATGGGGATGGCTGCGTCCTGTACACCCATAGGATGAGATGGGGGCACAGTAAAGTTCTGCTTTTTCCCTGGGGGTAGCTACATCCTGTACCCCCATAGGATGAGAGGGGGGAAAAGACACAGTCAACCTCTGCTTCTTCCCATAGGGGTGGCTACATCCTGTACCCCCAGGTAATAGAGTTCTGGCAAGGCCAAACCAACCGCCTACACGATCGCATTGTCTTCCGGCGAGGCCTAACAACAGGCGACTCCCCGCTGGGACCCATGACCCACCAGGGGGAGGAAGACTGGGTATATGAGAGACTTGCACCTTGACTCTGGACTCAGAATTCTGGGGAACCATCAGCTGAAAGAGTGCGGGAGAGCTGCTAAGAGAGAGTGAAGGACTAAAGCCGGGTCTTCCTTTCTCTGTGTGGTGGGGGGCATTTGGGTTTAAACCTGGGACCTGGCTCATGGTAGCCAACGCTCTCCCACTGAGCTTAGTCCCAGTGTTTTCTTAACCTTCTATTTTGTGACTAAGTTGACTAGGCTGGCCTTGAACTCGCTGTGTATATACATATATATCCCTGACAAGTCTTGGCCTTGAGTTCTTGTGGCACACAGCCGTTTGAGTAGCAGTGATTACGGGCTTGTGCCACCCAGCCCAGCTCTAGTCCTGGCTTTCAAACTAAGTCCATTTCCCTTCCTATCCCTTATATCTAAGTCTCTGCAGGGCTCACCCTCTGAGTTCTCCAAACTCAGCTGTAGTGGAGTGTGGTCGGTTCATAGAGAGTCACAATGGCAAAGAATCTCACGATCATCTCCCTTGGCTTTGCTTGTGGCTTTTGGAAAAGCCCATCTTAGAGACAGCGGCTGGTGTGACTCAGTTTCCAGCAATAGAATAATCAGGCTGCAGACGTGGGAGGCTTACCGGCCATGGAAAGGAGCCAAGGCCAATCCATGTTTGCTGTGACTCAGCCAGGATCAGAGAACTACTATTTGTTCTGGTTGGCCTTGAACTTGTTACTGGGGACACCGTACTTCTTTTGACTTTGTGGGTGTGTGCTTCAGGCTCTGTCCCTGATAAGAGCTCCTCCCAAAGCAATCCTCTCCTGTGTTGATCCCCCACTTAAGCCTGGGTCTGGAAGGACATTGATTCTGGGGCCACCTCCAGGGACTTTTGCTGTTGTGCCATGGACTATGTCTTTATTAGTACATGCAAATGAGTTGTTGAAGACAAGTGTTGTACCCCACTTCTTTTAGGGGGTTGTGTGTCCCCCATTTTTAGTGTGATCTCAGCTGTCATTTTCAACATGCAAGTGTGTAATAAAAATTTGTCGGCCATGTGTGATATTAATGTGTACCCTGGCTCTATTTTGTCGGAGGCACCAGGACTTTCCTGCCTCCTTGCTTCTGGCCAGACAGGCTGGGTCCAGCAGGGGGAGCCCACTGGCTAGGGCTGACCCTTACCGGGCAGTGGAGGCCAGTTCCAGGCGGCCTCTTCTGCCTCCCCCTTCCTCTGCTTGGGCAGCTTCCCAGTGAAACTGTGGTTGGTAACCGTGGCCTCTCCGTGCTCCTGCACATATTTGCACTCTCGGTTCCTCCTCCTCCCAGCAGCTCCTGCGAGCTTGCAGCTGCCTTGCTTGGGACTCTCTGGGGCAGCTGGATCTCTGTAGCCAGCCAGGCCTCCAGTTTTGGGAAACATGCACTGTCTCCCTGGAAGATTCCTGCAGAGATCCTTTTGGGACTGTGGTGATGTAGGTAAAAGGCTTAGAGACCAGGGACCCCGTGGAAGGAAGTGCTTGGGTACAGTTCAGAGTGTCTAATATGTGTAAATTCAATCCTCAGCATTAGGGACAGGGCATATGAGTCAGGTGGCATGGATCATGCCTGTAATCCCAACGTTGGGAGGCTAGGCATGGAGGATTGTGGGTTTGAGGTCAGCCTGGGCTACATGGTGACTTCCAAGCCATCTTGGGTTGCACAAAGAGCTCCTATCTCAAAAAAGCAAAAACAAACATGTCTATACCCAGTACCAATCTTCATTCCCTACCTGGGGTTAGGCAATCTCAGGATAGGCTGACATGAAAGGGACCTACAGTATGGGTCTTAGAGGACACCCAGCTCCTACACTCACATGCTGGTTCTCTCTTCCTGGTTCCAGAGCTTGCACACTCCCCTTGGTGGCAGTACCCTCCCTCTGGGTGGCCTAAGATCTAAATATTATCCTGTCTCATCCCCTGTCCCATTCTGCAGACAATAACTAATTGTTCCATACCACTCCAACCCACAACAGAAGAGATTAAAAAAAAAAAGCCGGGTGGTGGCAGCATACGCCTTTAATCCCAGCACTCAGGAGACCGAGGCAGGTGGATCTCTGAATTCAAGGCCAGCCTGGTCTGCAGAGTTCCAGGACAGCCTCCAAAGCTCTGAAGAGAAACCCTGTCTCAAAAAACAAACAACGACAACTCCCCACTCCCCCAGGAAACCAAAAGAGAAAGAATGGGAGGCGCTGGGGGCAGGGCATCATGGTTCATACAGACAGACCAGCTCTCACTTTAACCAAGTGCCTGACCAGGGCTGTTGGCTTAACCTCTCCGACTCCCAGCTAACTCTGAGGACAGGGAGCTAACTAATAGCACACCTGCCTCCCTGACTGGGGGTAGGGAGGGGCTAGGAAGACAGCCTGCTGTGAGGAGTGTTCGTGGTAGCTAACAACAAGGTTATAAGACTGGGGGACATCTCAGCTCTTTCTGGGAGTAGTACCTAATGAGACCTAGAAAGTTCTAGGGAGGGGTGCGAAAGGCTGAGATGAAGGCAGGGCCCTTGCTCTGCCTCCCTTATGCCCTGAGTTCTCCTGGCCTGGGCGAGGCATCTGACAAAGGTTTCCTTGTATAGGTCTGTTTGTTTTGGCAATAAACTTCCTCAGCAACAGCTCCCTAGGGTGGGGTGGCCCAGCAGACTTTGAGGAGCTGACCTGGAAGCTGCTGGACCGCATAGCTGAGTGTCCACCTTGGTCTTTCCCATCATGAGCTTCAGGGATTTGGCTGATTTTTTTCCCCCCAGCTCTCAGGCCCTGTGGCTTGGGCAAGAACCAGACTTGACATTACAGGGTGAGAACTCTTCCCTGGTTCTTAAACTAAAGCGGTGGGGATGGTGGCATTCTGTAAGAAGAGCTTTTCTCCTGTTTCCTGAGACAGGACCTTGCTGTGTACCCCAGGCTGACCTTTGAACCTACAATCCTCCTGCCTCAGCAAGAACTGAGATTACAGGGATTTGCTCTCACGTATGGCTTTACAGAGAAGTCTCTCTAGAAACTGTCCCCAAGCTCATCAGGCTACTACCTGGTGGCACCAGAATTTAAAACTTGGTCCCAAACTGAACCACCAAGAGCTATAGAGACGTTGGGTCTGTCGCCAAAGGTGTCCCCACTCTCTGAGAACCTTCACAGCCTCTCTATTATCCAGGGGGTGTCTGTCTCCTTCCTTCTCCCCTGCCATGTGAAGCCTAGCTTGGTGGAATTACTGCCACAGCCCCTACAATGCCACACTGGAGGGCCCTTCCTGAAGTTTAAAGAGCCTAAAGGTCCGCTTCACTTACACGAAGGTAGGGACGTGGCCATCCCCATACATGTGAGATGAGAGCGTAAATACCTCTGTTTCTGCAGCATTGTTTATTACTAGGTAAAACCTACCATTACTTTTCAAACAAAATTCAAGGCTCCAGGATTGACTTCTGGGGCTGATCCATCTTAAATACTATCAGGAAAGGAGTAGAGGAAATCCATCCATTCCTCCAGTTTGGACCCTTGGGTCCATGAGGCTTCTTCTTGGGGGTATGTAATTCAGCACCCACACAAGTGGGGGTCAAGGCAATAACTTGGGAATTTCCGATCTGGCCTTCTGTAACACCCCAGGGAGTGCCCGTGTCCTTTGCCCCTCCACTCTGGGGAGCAAAGTTCCAGGAAGTTTACTCCTTGAATTAAGAGGTGATCTTAAGTTCAACAACTCTGCCTCTGACACCAAGGCAACCAAGATCATGTGACTTTTTGGAAACTCTGATCTCCTTCCTAGGATTGGTCCGGGAAATAAGTCACAGGTAGAGAAAGTAGAGGCAGCAGCAATATGAATTCACCCTTGACCCTGTGCCCAGGGAGAGAGGGTGGTGTCCATTAGACTCCCTGTCTGTCCTCTGCCATGCTGCCTTCCTGTGAGCCAAGCCACTGTGCCAAGGATGGCTGTACTTCTAGGCGGCCATTTTTCATCCTGGACCAGAGTGCCTTTGTATGTGATCATGGGGAGGAGGACCCTGGGATCTCCCAGGCCCTTTGTAAATCTGGGGCACATAAATACAAACCTAAGAACCAGGCGCTCCTGCCAGCAGGCATCACCTGCCACTATGACTTCAGCTATGACCAAAGAGGCCAGCGTGGCAAGCTCCTGCCTCAGACCCCACCAGTGGCAGGGACCAGGGAGGTGCTAGTGTCCTCCTTGGCTGATTTCATTGTCCTTTGTTCTCCCTGTCATCAAAGAGGCTGGGGTTCTCTACCAACATGGCCCGGACTTTTTTCTTTTCCTTGAAGCGGCCTGAGTTGGACACTTTGACGTGCTTGCCTTTGGTGTTCTTGTCCACAATCTTCTCCAGACGGGTGTTAAAGTCGCTGTGAGGATCTCCAGCGTCAGGGCCCGGAGGCTCTGCACCTCCCTCTGTTTGGGCATAGGTGTCAGGGATTTCATAGAGCACTTTGGGAGTGGATTTCTTTTTTCCGGAGGAAAGTCAGCTTCCACCAGCCAGCTTCAGTCATGGTGGTCCCTAGGCCCAGGCAGGGATACCTGCAGGACCAAGTGGGAGACACAAAGGTCAGTGGGTGGAAGGATGGACATGTGGACCAGTCCTCTCTAGGCTCTCACATAGTCACTGGCTGATTTAAGAGCTGGTGAGTAAGCCGGGCGTTGGTGATGCACACCTTTAATCCCAGCACTCGGGAGGCAGAGGCAGGTGGATCTCTGTGAGTTCGAGGCCAGCCTGGTCTACAAGAGCCAGTTCCAGGACAGCCTCCAAAAGCCACAGAGAAACCCTGTGTCGAAAAAAACAAACAAACAAAAAAAAAAAAAAGAATAGAGGGTTGGAGAAAGAGCCTTCAAAGCAGTCATTAATGGGAAAGACATTGAGACAGGCAATGGGACAGTGAGACAGCCCTACCCCATTGCTTACAAAACTGTAGAGTCTGAGGTCCTTCCAAGCCTTCAGGCTACAGGCTAGGGAAGCCCCTTACCTAGCCACACATATCCTAGTCTTTGGCACCATGACCAAGTCCTTCCCACGTCTGCCCGGTGTTGGCAGACCATTGACAGGTCACACAGGCAGAAACACCTGTATGTTTTGCTTGGAACTCATGGCAAAATTAAATTGAATTTGTGCTAATTCCTGCCATTTGTCATGATGAGCATGAGCCTTTCCTGAAGGGGGGACTGGGAGCTGCACTCTAGGACTGGGAAGCTCTGCTTAGCCTCCTGACTTCAGCCAGGTTTCTCCTCTGAGCCTCAGCGTCCTCAGCCATCCCATCTAATCCTCACGCTCAGCCCAACCAGGACTTCGTGGCTACACGGGGAGATCTGCTTTGCAAAGTAAAACTCAGGGGATGGAGAAATCATTAGCAGACTGTTCTTTTCCCCCTAGCAAGCTGCCACAGGACAGGTGCTTGAAGGAGAGTTAGCAATTTGCAAGGCAGCTGGGGGAGCCTGTGGGATGTCAATGTCTCAGGCTGTGTTGTCTGTACCCTTCTATAAGGTGGGATTTGGGGTTGAAATCCAAGCTTCACAGCTCACAAGCTGCCCTGACATGGAGCTGCCTCTACACAGACCTCATCTTTTATTAATTGCCACAGTGGTGCATAGGAGCTAGAGGAAGTCCTGGGAATGAGGCTCCCTGGCCACAGCTGATGTCTATAGCAGGGAGGGATGGAAATCTGCAAGAATTAAACTCTATGAGGGAGCTGAATGACACAAGCATAGACATCTCGGGGCCCAGAGAGGTTGGACGTCTGATCTTATGACCCTGGGCATACAATGGGACAATATTGGGGAGAAGGTGCAGAAGCTAACAGATACCAGAAAGCTAGATGGCCAGGCAACCCAGACCTGCATTTGTTACCTATTTAAAAGTGGATGGTGGCCATAATCCCAGCACTCGGGAGGCAGAGGCAGGCGGATCTCTGTGAGTTCGAGGCCAGCCTGGTCTGCAGAGTGAGTTCCAGGACAGCCAGCCTCCAAAACAATACAGGGAAACCCAGTCTCGGAACCACCACCACCCCACCCCTGTCAAAAAAAGCTGACGGTGGGGTTTGTGAGATGACCAGCAATCAAATACACCTGCCACCAAACCTGATGACCTGAGTTCCATTTCTGTGACCTACTTGATGGAAGAAAAGACTTCGTTCTCAAAAGTCCTCTGACTTCCACAAATAAACCATGGCATACACCCCTCATGTACACACAAAATATTTTTTTGCTTGTTTTTGTTTTTCAAGACAGGGTTTCTCTGTATAACCCTGACTGTCCTGGAACTCACTCTGTAGACCAGGCTGGCCTCGAACTCATAGAGATTTGCCTGCTTCTGCCTCCCAAGTGCTGGTATTAAAGGCATCAGGAATGTAATTAAAAAAAAAAAACGATGATGGAGGGGGCAGGGAGCATAGAACCTTTGCCTAATATATCTAAACTCTGGGTTTAATCCAAAGCACCAGGCCTCCCCCCCAATCTTGATGGCCTTCATTATATTTTCTAAAATCACCAGAAAGAAAAATGCAAATTGAGTACTAGTGGGTTTTTTCTTAAGTAGAAAAAAAATTGAGGGTACTGCTTTTGCTTCTTCTAGCTCTCTGATTTCCATCATTTCCATAATGCATATGGGTATTTGGGGTGAGAGGAGCATATGAGATTCAGAAGAAAGAAAAGCAAGACAGCAGCTGAGGCTGGGAACAAGCTGAGTACCTCTTGTTGCTGCCCCTTGCAGTGTCCGTCTCCTGCCCCTCTAGACACACTCCCTTCCCACCCCACACCCCAACCAGGGAGACTCTTTCCCATTCCTTTGTCCAGGAAGCAGACCCCCATTGCCCGCTCCCCTTCAGCTGGGTCCAAGCAACACAAGCTAAAGAGGATCTTGTGCAGCTCCCACTTAGAACGCAGGGGGTGGGGGTAGAGGGGTACTTCCAGGCACCTGGAGAGTTGAGCACACCAAGGGACAGCCTGAGAGGTTTGCCTTGGCAGCGTGCCCCTTCTGGGCTTAGCACAGCCTTGCACAGAACTTGGTGTTCCAGAGCGGGTTACTGGAAGGAGCTGTGGGAGGAAGGGACAGAATGCCCGCTCAGTAGCTGCCTTGTCGACACGCCACTGCCCATCTGGAGCTGCCGAGATGTGACTTGGGGCATAGAGGGATAGCTGATCCAGCTCCTGCATCTGCTCTAAGCACCTGATTTCCCAGCACTGTGCCGGAGAGAGGCTTCTGTCCATGCCAGTTAAGATGTACCCATTTTAACAAGTACTATATATCAACACAGCATTCCCAGAGCCTACCTCCCCTTGAAGCTGAAGGACCCACAGGTCACAAGGAACTGCTCACAAGACTGTTAGTGGGAATAGCATCATGCCTGCCTTGGTGCCCTGTGTCCTGGACTCTTGAGGATGCTTTTGCTGGCCTTCCTGTTCTCTCTGCCCAGCACACCTAAACGCCTGAACAAGTGGTTGTCCCTTACGTTACATGGAAATCTGAATTGGTAAAAACAGATAAAGTGATGGACTATTCTCTGTTCTGCATGATAACTCAGCCTCCAGTGTCTGTAGTGAACACAAAAGAAGGCACAGAATCTGACCGGGCATGTGGCACCCGCCTTTAGTCCTAGCACGCAGGAGGCAGTGACAGAAGGATCTCTGTGAGTTTAAGGCTAGCCTACTCTACATAGGGAGCTCCAGGACAGTCAGGACTACATAAAGATACTCTTGTCTAACTGGGCAATGATGGCATACGCCTTTAATCCCAGCACTCAGGAGGTAGAGGCAGAGGCAGGCAGATCTCTGAATTTGAAGCTAGCCTGGTCTACCGAGTGAGTACAAGACAACTAGGGCTACACAGAGAAATCCTGACTTAAAAAAAGGAAAAAAAAGAGAAAAAACCGTCTAAAAATGAACAAAGAACAGGTGATATGAGCCAGATGTGGTAGAACACACTTGCAGTCTCTACACTCGGGTAAGATATCGCAGTGAATCAAAAGCCAGCCTGATCTACCCAACAGGTTTCTAGTTCAGCCTGGTCTCCAGAGTGAGACCCTGTCTTAAAAATAAACAAAATAAACAAACAACCAACAGCAAAACAGCCGCTTGGTGTACAAGCTCCCCAAATCTCTAGAGTTGTGAAGAGTAAAATGTTTCCAGTCATGACCATACATGATCCTGGAAAACCAGCAGGGACCTGGTGGTGGACATATAGATCTAGCATTTGGTGAGACCAGCTGTCTGCATATACAGGGGCCTGAGATGCCAGGTTAAGGGCTGGGCCCTTGCCCTGGACCTTGCAATCATTGTGGGATGAGGGAAATCAGGCCCCAAGGACGCCAACTCCACCTCTGCTGTTTTTGTAGCTTCAGGGCCCATGAAAGGCCTTGTAAGACAACTTGCCGCCTCCTGCCTCGGGTGGCTAGCACAGCGGCATGCACACAAGCGTCCAAGACAGGTCCCATCACCCCAGCTAGAGCACTATCTGAAGGGCTTTGCCCAGAGTAGGCCAAGCTCCTTCTGAGCCGGACAAGTTAAACATTGACTGAGTCCGAGATGGAGGTGCAGAGGAAGGAGGATGTCAGTTTGGAATCATGGAATCTGCTCCTCTTCCTCTGCAGGGCCCCACTGGCCCTTGGTCACCCTGAAGGAGATTGGATAGGACGTGGGAGATGTTTCTGCTAGACAGTCAGGAACACACATGGGCCAGAGGTTATGGTCTCGAGTGGAATAAGAGTTAATAGTGAAACTTTCTCAGCAGGAATTCTGTTGGAGGCCTGGACATTCTCCCAGAGGCCGGTGGGGTGAGACAGGATGAAGACAGAGTCTGCTGGGCTTGTCCACCATGGAGGCCGGAGTGGGAACCCTGGTCAGGGAGTTTGTCCCACCCACCCGTCCCTGCTGCCTGTACCTGTAATCCAGACTGCTCTGTGTTGGAAGCGAGGCTTTCCCCCGAGGAGTTGAATGTAGGAGCTGCCCAGGCAGGTGAGACTGGAGGAGGAGAGGGTGCCTCCAGGGTGTCGTGCTGGCCAGACTCAGCCTGGAGAGGTGGGTGGGAGCAGCTGCAGGGCAGGAGTGAGAGAAACAGGTGCAGGAGCAGGTACCTGCTGGCTGCACAGCAGCTCCAGGAGTCAAGGTGAACCTGAAACCCGGCCCCTCCCAGCTAAGTAAACAGGGGCAGAGGCTGGTTCAGGCTGATGAATATTCATCACCCCAGAAATCCAATCCCAGCGCCTCGGCATCCACACAGAAGCCAGTGTCCTCCTGGGATCACCACGCTGGAGGACTGAATCTCAAGGGACGGCTGGGATGGGGAGCACGGGAGCCTCCCGAGTTTCCCTGCTCTTCGGTGTCTGGTTGCACTCTGAAACCATCGAGAAAGCCACCCCTACCCATTATCTCCAGCATGGGCCACCACCTGGATGTTGCCAGGGCACTATAGAGAAAGGGTTAAGGGCCCCGCTGCTCCCTGAGCGGGCTGGGCATCCCTACTCCCTTTGAACTCCCTGAGTTGAAACCAGTCTCTGGTAGAACTGGTTGGCAGACCGGTTCCCAAGCTGTCTGTCGGCTCTCCCCCACTCTGAGCTCTCTCTGCAGGCAAGGGCACTGGGATTCTCTCCTGAGCTGAAGGACCTCTGAAGACCTCACCAGAGGAAAAGGGGGAGGCCTGGTGTGTGGACAAGGCTCTTTAGACCCCCTCACATAGCTTCCTCCTGCTCAGAAGTAGTAGTTATAGGGGAAGAGCTTAGAATATGCCAAAGCCAGGTGTAACCTTGGCACTCAGGAAGCTGAGACAGGAAAATCATGCATTTGAGGCCAGCCTGGGCTACATAGAGAACTCTTTCTCAAAATATGGAAACTACACAAAGAATTCCCAATGGGCAGAGGATTTCTGCATAAGCGTCAACTTTTCTTGGACTCCCAAAGAGAAAGCTGGAGGTGGAGGAAGAGGAGCGGAGGAAGGAGGAGGAGGAAGGTGTAGGCAAACAGAAAGGGAGAATGTGTATGTACACAGTCACCTCCTACAAACCCACCTCAGCCTGGCTGCTGGCCTTGCGGAACGTGGTTGGGTAGCTGCCCTGAGACATTCTTTTGACCTTCAGATGGGCATCTCTTCAGAGTAAGAAACCGCTGCTGCATATCCAGGGTTCTTGTAGCTTTTGAACCCAACATACTCATGGCTGCTTTCCTTCCTGACGCTCTGGACTGGGTATGCGTGCCCCACACAGAGCAAGGTACCAGAGCTAAAAAAAAAAAAAAGGCTTAACAGTTCCCAGTTTCCCTGGTTCTCTCCCCCGGGGTATGTTTGACTCTAACTATACAAATCTCAAGTCTTCCCCATTTCCAACCTTGATTCTTACCTACCACCAATGCCACCAATAGCTGATATGTAGTAGGACTCTATATTACTATTATTAATTTATTCATTTATTTATTGGTTTTTGGAGACAGGGTTTCTCTGTGTAGCCCTGGCTCTCCTGGAACTCACTCTGTAGACCAGACTGCCCTCGAGCTCATAGAGATCCACCTGCCTCTGTCTCCAAGTGCTAGGATTAAAGGCATGCGCCACTATGTCCGACAACATAGTAGGACTTTAAAACCCGCTAGTGAGAAAAGCAAGCCTTGATGTCATCTACAGCAGCTCTTCAGCAGCCATGTGGTCAGTGCTGCTCTCTCTGGCGCATCTAGGTATATGAGGAGGAGACCCCTCGTATGGACCCCTGGCTTGCCCTTGCCTTAGTTTCTCTGTCTCTCACTGTCTCTCTGTCTCTGTCTTTGTCTCTCTCTCTCTCTCTTTGTGTGTGTGTGTGTGCATGTGTTGGGAGTTTGCAGGTGTGCGTGTCTGTATGTGTGTTGGTGTGCACGCGCAGGTGCAAGCACTAGGAGTTTGAAGATGCTGTTTTGCAGAGTCTTGCTGTCTCTAGCGCAAGGCACATATGGCTGTCTTTGTAAGGTAGACACAGCTTCCTAGATAGGTGACTTTCAGAACAACAGAAGCTAAAGCTGACAACAGTCCAGTAGTTGAGAAGACCGTGGGAGGGGGAGATGTGCTTTGGCCTGTGGACAGTCTCCCAAAGTCACCTCAACACTTCCCGTCAGCATAGGAAGGGCTTTGTCCTGAAGGCCTTCCTTCCTCATGACCCTGTGATGTTTGAGGCGCAGGTGAGGGGCAGAGCCTGTTCTTTTGGCTCTACAGTGAAGATGAAGTCCCTCATGAGAACTGCAGTGGCAGGCCTGCCTGTGATCTTCCCTACTGAATGCCACTAGGACAGGTGTAAGCCCTTCCTTCTGGAAAGCTCTGGAAAGGTCTTGGAGTTTTGGACATCACTGCTCTCTTATTGATGTGTTAAAAAAAATGGCACTTTTTGGGATTGGAATGTAAAAAAATAAATTAAAAAGAGAGAGAAAAAGAGCCATCTTTAAAAAAAAACAGTACTTTTAAAGTTGGTCTTCAAGAACCAGGTTCATGTATGATTCACCACACACAGCCAGCAGTGTGTGTTCTTAGAGACGTCAGCATCCTGTTGGGGCACACAGCCATGGACCAGTCCTTAGATACCAAATCGAGCCTAGTCAGACATGGTCTTCCCATTGTCCTGAGCTCTGCCCAGGGAACAGAGATTGTTTCCAGGGATATTTTACAAGACAGAGACAAAAGGGGAGCTGGACTATCCCTATCATTGCCCTTCTAGGAAACCAGAGCTCCTGAGAGTGTACAGGGCCTGGCCCACATGACCAACAGAAGAGACCGGATCCTGAGACTGCTTAGCACAGAGGACAAAGATCAGTATCTGATGGGTCACACCAGGGGCAGCTGGGAAGCAGGGCAGGGGTGGCATCAGGCTTTCTAGTCTGAGATGAAGAGTAAAGCTGCCATAGGGACGAGAGCTTTCTTTCTCCACACATACGAGGACCAGTGGGGTGGTGGTGGCACGCCCTTAATCCCAGCACTCGGGAGGCAGAGGCAGGTGGATCTCTGTGAGTTCGAGGCCAGCCTGGTCTACAAGAGCTAGTTCCAGGACAGCCTCCAAAGCCACAGAGAAACCCTGTCTCAACCCCCCCCCCAAAAAAAAGAAAAAAGAAATATTAGGACCAGGCTCAGGTACTCTTCCATATGCCTTCCTCTCCTCAATGGATCCTCTCAACACCACACAGGTGGGGCCTCTTAGTGGTTATACATGTGTCATGTACATACATACTTACATAAATACATACCTGTGTGTATATATATATGCCCTCAACAACATTTTCTTCATATTAAAGATTGAACCTAGGACCTCTACTGCTGAGCAATGTCCCCAGTATTGTTCCTTTAGTTGCTGATTTTGTTATTGTTGCTTTGTTTTTAGTTTTTGAGACCCAGAAGGTTTATTTTGTGACTGATCACTGAAACCCTCAATATGAAGCAGAGGCTGCAGTGGCAGGCTGCCTCTGGGGTTTAGGTGTTGGTCTTTCACACGTCCACATCGAAATCTGTGACAGACAATCTTCAGGGGCCTCAGTCTCCAGTCCCTGAGGTGTTTGGTCTCTCAGGCTTGGTCTTGGCTCTCCAGTTAAACTTTCTCTTGGGCTTGGCAGAGGACCCCTGTTGGCTTCTGAACGTGGCAGGCCTCGGAGCAACAGAGCAATGATTGTGGCTTTTTTTGATGCTTCCCAAAAAATGTTCTTATTCATCTTCTTTCTGCTTCTGAGTCCAGAAAGACTAGAAGAGAAGGCATTCTTGCCATGTCTTTTTCTTTCTTTTGTTTTACGTTTTATTTTAAGACGGCTCTCACTAAATTGAGCTAGCTGGCTGTAACTCTTTTCATGGCCTAGGTGAGACTTGAACTCGTCCCCAGAGTAGCTAGGATTACAGGCATGTGCCACCAGCCTGGCTCCTGCTTGCATTTTGCCCAGTGTTGATCACCTATTGCCATTGCAAGGAGATCATCCCAAACTTACCTGCATGTAACATTATAAACTGATTCCCCCATAGTTTTTGAGATTACAAATCCAAAACCAGTTGCAGAGGGCCAGATCAAGGCAGGATTGTGATTCCTCACAAGGAGCTCCGTTCCCAGCTTCGACCAGCTGTGGTGACTCTCCGCTTGCCTGGCCAGTGGCCACACCACTCGTGCCTGGGCCTCCTTCACTCTTACTATGTAGCTGAAGCTGCCCCCGAGCTCTTCCTGCCTCCATCCCCCAAATGCTAGGATTATGGGCTTATACTACTGTACCCATCGTGCCATGCTTTTCCGTGTATCTGGATCAGCTCCCTCTGCCTTGCTCTTTTAAAGAACACCCAGAGCCGGGCGTTGGTGGCGCATGCCTTTAATCCCAGGCAGAGGCAGGCGGATCTCTGTGAGTTCGAGGCCATCCTGGTCTACAGAGCGAGGTCCAGGAGAGCCTCCAAAACAATACAGAGAAACCCTGTCTCGAAAAAAAAAAACCAAAAAAAAAAAAAAAAAAAAAAAAAGAACACCCAGGATGGCCATTAGAGCTCACCCCAGCGAGCTCAATTATCTCCTTGTCTCAAGATCCTCAGCATAACACATCATCAAAAACAGCGTAATACTTCTTTCCAGATAACGTCAGTATGGCATGCTCCAGGACCTTGGGGTCACTTCTCAGTGTGCCTTATCTTTCATTCTGTAAACTAACTGCATTTTCAGGCTGTGGCAGAAACTGTGCCTTGAGGTCCTCCACTGAGCAAGGATTTTCTGTTAAGCCTGGGAGTGTAGCTAGCAGCTAAGATTCCTTTGGGGTCTAGCTTAGCCACAGGGAGCACCTGGCCAAAGGCCACGCTCTGCTGGGAACACTTGTGCCTAGAGAAAAAAAGAAATCCAGCTACCTCTCTCCCACAGAGGACACTCTGAGGAGTGATGCTCATTCCAGAGATTTCCCCTACCCCTATCTGCAGCCCACCACTGTCAGATTGGCAGTCCCTGTGTCAGGTCTGGAGGCACACACCTACAATCCTAGCCTTCAGGAGGCTGAGGAAGTACTGCTGAATGTTTAGCATAGGCTAGCCTAGGCTACACAGCAAGATCTTGTCTCAAACAGCAGCAGCAACAACAACAACAACAAAACCTTGCGGGGGGGGGCGGGGGGGGGATTCAGCTAGCCATGGTAGTGAATACCTGTATTCAAGTGCTTAGGAGGGACAGGTAAGACCAGGACTCCAAGAACCAGCTTCAGAGCCAGCTCCGTGGCACAAGCCTTTAATCCCAATACTTAGGTGGCACAGCGGGTGGATCTCTACATAGACCTAAAAAAGAAAAAGAAAATCACCCTCAGAATCTGGAGAGATTGATGGCTTAGAGGTTAAGAACACGGGCAGGTTTGATCCCAGCATCCACAACAGTCTGTAACTCCACATGCAGTGGGTCAGACGCCCTCTCTGGCCTCAGAGGGCATTGCATGCATGAGAAGCTCAGACATACATACAGGCAAAACACCCAAACACCATACACATAACATTCAAAACTAATGTCCAAAAAAAGGAAATTCCCCAGGTAGGTAAGGTTTGAGACCAGCCCAGGCAGACTACTCAAGACCCTGTTTCGAAAAGCAAAATAGCAAAAATTCAACTGGCAGTGGTGGCGCACACCTTTAATCCCAGCACTTGGGAGGCAGAGGCAGGCAGATCTCTGTGTTCAAGGCCAGCCTGGTCTACAGAGGGAGTTCTAGGATAGCCAAGCCAAGACTACACAAAGAAACCCTGTCTCAAAAAACGAAAATGAAATAAGAAAGAGAAAAATTAGCAAAAAAAAAAAAAGAGTAAAGGAAAAATTTTCCTTTACTCACTCTTGTTTCTGTCTGCTTCCCCTTACAGAAAATGAACGCCCCCTCCCCTGAGAAAAATGCACAGTCAGTGTCACAGACATAACCCGTTTCCGCTGTGATGGCAGTGAAGCGTCATCTTTGTGTCATCTTCTGAATTTGATTTCCCTGTGTCCTGGATTGAAGACTGTCCCAGAGCTCTCGTCCATGTCAAACCCCAGAATGTGGGCCTGTTTGAAAAGAGTTCTTTTGCAGATGTTAAGATGAAGTCATACCACATTAGCTAGGCCTGGGGCCCTGGTGAGAAAATTAGACACAGAAGCACACAGAAAGTCTACCACACACCACAAGGAAGACACAGACTGAAGTGACACTTCTTCAAGACCAAGAGCAAGGCTCGATGGCCAGTGCCAGAGACAGGGGAGGCACAGACAGATTGTCACCAGAACCTGCCTTGATTTCAGGCTTCAGATTTGTGGTGATCTCCCATGGCATCTCAAAAACAAAAATAAAACAAACGAAAACAACGCACTCACTTAAGCAAGTGTTGGCCATTTGGGCTTCATGTTCATGGACGAGATCCTTTTTGGATGTAGAAAATCTGCACTGTATCCACGGGGCAGGGGGTGAGGAGGAGGAAAGGAAACCATTTACAGATTCTTAGGTCTTTTGGACAATCCACAGCCTTCCAGGGACCTGTTGCCCTCTAGGTGGGATCACTTGTCCACTGGCTTCAACTTCTGCCTGAGGACTCCTCTTCATGACCTATCTTTGCCAACTTCTCTGACCTCATCTCTCTCTGCTCTGCGTGTGACTGATTGTGCTGCTCTTGGTGGGAGTTATCTACACCCCCTGCACTCTGCATGCTTACCACTCGGTTTGCATGGGGTAATTTAAGCACTTTTGATAGATGAACACAGTCCTGGTCTCCAGGGAGCTTTCATGGGCTGCAGAGTGTGGCAGACCCATCACACTGCACACCGCATTTTTTCCAACACTAGAACTGTGTCTTTGAGTCAAGGGCCCCAGCACTGGTCCTCAGAAGATGTGGGCTGGCATGGGAATGGAGGTGGGTAGAGTGCTTTGGTCATGGACTTAATTTTCTTTCTTTTGGTAGATAAGATTCTCTCCCCTGTTGAAGCGAAAGTGCAGAAATGAGCACAGTGGTACATCTGAGAGACGATACACGAGGCCAGCCAGGGATAAAAGTGAAGGGATGGGAGCTGGAGAGATGGCTCAGCGGTTAAGAGCACTGACTGTTCTTCCAGAGGTCCTGAGTTCAATTCCCGGCAACCACATGGTGGTTCACAACCACCTTGAATGAGATCTGGTGTCCTCCGCTGGCATGCAGGCAGAAGACTGTATACACAATAAATAAATAAAATTAAATTTTAAAAAAGTGAAGGGATGGAGGGCATGGCCAACCAAGACAAGAGTACAATCAGTAGCCCTGAGGGCAACTCCAATGATGGAGACTATGTGGCCTGTGGACCCATGGACCTTCATGACCTACCTTAACCTGGGAAGCCAGCCAGCCCGAATTTCTTCCCAATGTCTCCTTCCCTGACCCAAAAGGTTCAAGAGGGAGTTGGCTCCATATCCTGACCTGCAAAGGGAGGTGAAAGGGAGCTGGAGACCTTGAAGCCCTTTCTCCTAGAGCATGAATCACAGCCATCACCATCATTAAATGCCCCCCTGTAAGCAGCACCCGTATCCTTCCTTTTAGTGTCAGCCACTGCCAAGTACTGGGATATAGAGGTGACCAACCTGTAACCCTTCCCACAGCGTGCTCACAAGTCAGTCGAGGATAAACTGAAACAACAACAACACAGAGATAAACCTAAAACAGCAAGATGTCCAGTCAGGGCTTCCAAGGAGTCTCTCTCTCTCTCTCTCTCTCTCTCTCTCTCTCTCTCTCTCTCTCTCTCTCTCTCTCTCTCTCTCTCTCTCCCCCCTCTCTCTCTCTCACACACACACTCACACACATGTGTGAGCACACACACATGGGCACACACCCCAGTGTTCAGGCCATAAAGTAATATACATAGGATGCATATAAAGGTCATTTGGATGTCAAAGGTAAGGCCTCGTTTTATGGGCATTTCAAGATAAGCCATGGGCACTGGTCCAAAACTGGGTGTGGTAAGAAAGGACTTTGTAAGGGAGAAGTGATAGCCCCGAGTCTGACACAGTAGCTAGGGAGAAAGTGGAAATAAGTTTGAAGACCAGTGAAGGATGGATAGAAGGTGGTGTTGGCTGAGCCAGTAGGGCAGGCACAGGTGTGTCACCCAGAGATCAAGAATGGAAGCCAAGGTGCCTGGCATAACCTGGGTTGGTTTGAATCCCAACCCACCAGCCTCAGTTGTATTGATGTTGGATAAGTAACAATCTAAGCGTTGGATCCCTTGCCTTTAATTTGACTAATAATAGCATCCACACCATGAGTTGTTACAAGGATCAAATTAAATACAGCTTGTAAAACATCAGATCTACACTGGCAGATAGTTATCACTTAATAATTAACAATAAGGTCAGAGCAGCCGCAGGCGGGGCACTTGCTCTGTGGGGCTCTGTGCTTCTCCACTGCAAAGCCTGCCCATCTCTGGCTTTCTTCATCTCCGTGCATTTCCTCCTCCTCTAAATCAGCAGGGACGTCAGAGGTTCCCGATCAGAGATCTCCCGGATCCTCTCCTTGCTGGGAACCCAACAACCAAAGCCCCCAAAGCTGGCAGTTTTGTTTTCTTCTCAAGACAGGGTTTCTCTGTGGCTTTGAAGGCTGTCCTGGAACTAGCTCTTGTAGACCAGGCTGGTCTCAAAGTCACAGAGAGCTGCCTGCCTCTGCCTCCCAAGTGCTGGGATTAGAGGTGATCTTCAAAGTCTGTCATAACATTTGGAGCAGGGCCTAGACCCAATAAATAAAATATTATATGTAATCATTATTATTACAGAATAAATCAACAGGTGTTCCTGGAAACAGTCAGCAGGGGAGAACTAAGACTCTCTTCAGGGCTCTCATGGGTACTTGGCTCCCATCTCAGAGTCCTGACTCAGGCGTTGCTAGAACTCTCCTACGAATAAACAAACACTTACTAGGTCCCAATCATGTGCTGCAAGTTCCCCGGGACATCCCAAGACGTCTAGCACGACCACACCTTCCAAGTGTGTCTCTCCTCCTTAAAACAACAGGCCGGGCTCACAGGGCAAGGCCAATCTAGTAAACCCAGCCCTGGTGAGTCGGTGAAACAGAGACCACCAAACCCTTCACCTTCACCCACAGCTCCCAGGATGACTCATGTGGAACACAGGATGTTTGAGAATGGTTCTGCTTAGCTACTGACACAATTTTTTTTAATGTTCAGAACTTTTTACAGTTGACAACACATTATAGATATTCAATCTTATACTCTGTGAACTATACATAAAATATTATTTTTGGTTTCTTTCTATTTTTATTTAAATTAGAAACAAGCTTGTTTTACATGTCAATCCCAGTTCCTTCTCCCTCCCCTTCTCCCCTGCCCCCCACTAACCACCAACTCCGCCCCTCATCCTGAGTCCTGCACCTTTAGTGTGTTTATTTTGTTTGTTTCTTTTGTTTTGTTTTTTTGAGACAGGGTTTTTCTGTGGCTTTGGAGCCTGTCCTGGAACTAGCTCTTGTAGACCAGGCTGGTCTCAAACTCACAGAGATCCGCCTGCCTCTGCCTCCCGAGTGCTGAGATTAAAGGTGTGTGGCACCACTGCCAGCTAGTATGTTTATTTATTTAAGCCTCTAAACAAATGCCCTGAGATAGGCTGTTATCTCTACGCTGAGAGGACTGTGGCTATCTGGGAAGTGTGGAAACTGTCCAAAATCTCACAGGGCCAGAATCTAGGTCTGCCCACTACTGTATCGTACCCGGTAGTTTAGCCCAGAACCTACTAGGCCCTGGGTGTTGTGCTGTCTGGGGGAGAGGAAAGAAGGAAGACAGCATTCAGGAATGCCATCCCCGGATCTGAGGTCCTGGGAACCTTCATCTCATCCTCTCCCTTCACTCCACCGCTTCCTGTCCACTTCAGTCACTCCCTTGGTTGAAGCTGTCACTCAACCATGACAACAACTCTGCTTATGACTTTCCAAGCTGTCTTTCTTCCCAGTCTAAATGCAGGCCCAGGTACCTTCTGTATACTTTCGGCTTGTTGGTTTCCCAACAGTGCCAACTCCACAAGCTCAACACATGCTCAGCCTCCTGCACCGATGCCTCAGGTGGTGACACTCCCGCCCAACACTTGAGTGTCAGCGTTTTTGCTTGAGACTGTGTGTAGCACAGAACTCCCTCTGTAGACCAGGCTGGCCTCGAACTCACAGAGATCCACCTGTCTCTGCCTCCCCAGTGCTGGGATTAAAGGCGTGCGCCACCACTGCCCCGGTTGATTGTCATTTTTGGTGTCTTTCTCCTCATCCATTCAATCTATCGCCAAGTCCTGTCCATTTTCTTCCTAAACATCTTTCAAATTCTGCCCGTCTCCTCCCCACAGCTTCTGCCCTGGGTCAGGCCCCAACCTCTGTAGTTCAGCCTTCTTCTAGTGGCTCTGTCTCCAGTCTTATCTCCCATTAACCCATCCTTGTAATGAATATTGCATGTCCTTCCTTGTCCCAAACCTTTCAGTAGTTCCTCTTTATCTGCAGGGGTGAAGTCCAAGTTCCTTATTTGATATGTCCCTTACATTTTACAACCTCCTCTCAGGTCATTCCCTGCGTTAAACATTTTACTGGATAGAGGCAGGCCTAAGATCATCCATAGACAGGAAACTGAACAGAGTCCTCTTAAAACCGATCATAATGTTTAAACAAGAAATCTCGCATTCCACTTCGTGTTGGACCACACATAAGCTGCCGGTGTGCCTGTGTTTTCCCTGAACTCCTCTTGCAGAGTGTGGTCTGAAAGGTTTGTCTAGTCTCTTCCACCGGGAACACCATTTTCACAAACCTTCCTTCCTTCTGCAACTTTTCCTCTAATACTAATGCAAGTGTCTCTTCCTCTCCCTTCCCTAATTCCCAACAAGAATCAGGTATTTAAAAGCCAGGTCTATCAGATAAACGAAATGGGAGGACAAAGTGTGACAAGCGCCTACGATCTTCTAAAGGTGGTAACCGTAGGAAGAGAGGGATGAAAATAATTTTTTTGAAACGCCTTTCAAAAAGCCATCCGCACGGCGCTAGGACCCTGTCCGCGGACGTGTTCGTTCTCCAGCAGGGGGCTCTGCGCCCGGCAGGGGAAAAGCCACCTACACCGGCTCTTGGGTGCCCCCTGCCTCCATCGCGCGAGCGCTACAGCCTTTCCAGAAGCTCACGGTGCCCGAGCCCGCCTCTCGTCTCCGCTTGGCTGTCCGCTATTCTCCCGCCCATCCGGTACTCAGCCATTCCGAACCTCTTGGTGGGCGGGGATTGTAGCAGGAGGCGGAGCGTGGGCTCGGATTGGCTCCGCGGAAGACGGCGACGTGGCTGAAGGAGGCCGGTTTGTTTCTGAACTGAGGCGCAGGCACACCGGCTCAGGATTGGTGCCGGGCCGGGCCGGGGTCTTGACCGGAAGCGGAAGTGGAGAAAGGATGCAGGTGTGGGGACCAGGGCTGGAGAAACTGGGGTGTGCCCTGGGACCCCTGTCCTGCCTAACTCAACTCCTCCTGTCCTCAGCCGGGCGCTCTGGTCCTGCAGGGTGGCGGTTGGGCCTGTGAAATGAGCGCGCGCGGGGCACATTGCCTTCCCGCGTTCACGCCCCCCTACCTGTCGTGTTTCCCACCAGGACCATCAGCACGTGCCCATCGACATCCAGACCAGCAAGCTGCTCGGTAGGAGAGGCGCCCCCGCGCGGTCGGCTGTCGGGGGAGGGCAGCTACTTGCCCACGGTCACCAGCAGCCAGGAGCTATGAAAGCCTGGGTTGAGGTGCCTTCCTCTGGCCCGTCTTGTTTGAACGAAGCATATGGAAAGTCTGTACTGGCTCCTTGTCTTCTACTTTTAACATTTGTAACGTGGTATCAAATCCTAGTCTGGCACACAGGACAAGTGGCTAGCGTTAAAGACGGGCAATTACCTAATGGCCTGTCCATTTGGACCTAAGCCCCTTTGGTTCTGGCTTCATACCTTTTGCATTATTTTGGAGTGGGAAGACCCCTCCCACTTATTTTAAAAGTTTCAATTCCCCTTCGAATTTATGGGGAAGAGGGCCCTAAGGTCTTTTGTACCAGGGATGGTG